ACGCAGACCTCGCACAGATGGAGGCAGCGATGCGGACATGCACCTGGCTGTTCTCTCTTTTCTCTTTTTACTTCATTTATCAGTTCCGCCACACGCGCCGCCTCGCTAGGCATCGACAGGTGCCCTGCGCAGAAACATATGTCTCAACATCCACGGGATCTACGGTTTCGGGGTCCCTGAGAAGGGCCTCGTCTCGGCAGACAAAAGTTGCCACAGCCTCCGGAAAACCAGGAAACTAGGAGAAGCAAGGAGAAGCAAGGAGAGCAAGGAGAGGCAAAGGAGAGGCAGAGGCACCCAAAAACATGTTCTTGGACCCAACAGCCTGTGGCTGCGGCCATGATGGTTGTGATGGAAATTCCCGCCTTCCCGTGGTGTGGTGATGTGATGTGAATCTCTATACTATGTTATTGCGAAGTCGTCCGCAACTTCTCTTGGCCCCTTTGTGCTTCACACGCCAGTCCCAGGCCTAAGAAACCTTCAACGCCCTAACTTTCGTGGCTCGGGGCCACGCAGCCCTAATCGGCCCGACTTCATTTGACAGGACCTCCTGAAGTTCATTGCCGAGGAGCACTCGGCTATTTTGCATCGAGTTGATGAGGACACCCCTTGTCGCACAGAGCCACTCCGATCGATAGAAAATGTCAGGTTGCCATGTGCGTTTGATGCACGCTAAAAAAGCGACCTGCTTTTCTCGACCAGCGGCATATCGGTATTGGTCAGGAGCACCTCGAGCTGAAGTCTGCACTGCACAGAATAGAGCGCCACATCTCGAATTTGCGCGGCCAAAGGCTCAGTGCACAATGTCTCCTCTCGTTCCACGGGCATCTTGTGGCAGACAATGGCAGACACCTGCAATCCGAAGCGAGACAGGTCCAGAGGAGCCGAAGCTCCAAAGCTGCACAGAAGATAGCCGCGATCGCCGAGATCGCCGAGATCGCCTGTGCATAGCGGACATCGCGCATGTTGCGCTTGTCCCACAGACATGCAAGCCGGGGTTGCCGGAAGACTCGGACCCTCCTCCACCAATGAGCTCCATGTGCTCAAGGTCCCCCTCAAGGTCCCCTGAGGCGTGAGACGTAGCAGAAGGATGAACAGATACAGTGATACAGAATGTGAGGCACTGTAACTGGCAAGCCGGTGCCTCCAAGCCTTCTGAGCCAGCGAGGCCTCCCTGACACTTCCGACCGACAAGCGCGAGTTCCAGGAGATGCGATTGGTGTCCAACGGCACAGAGATGAGCATCGTCACTCGACCAAATCTGAGTTGGCAAAACCCTGACATCCTCAAACCACCTTCATTCTACTCAGGCGCAGGCACTGAGTAGCGTAGAGTAGCGTAGAGTAGCGGTCCTGGCGTGGATTTCGTGAAATTTGTGCCAGATGCCAGAGAAGTTGCGATGCCGAGGCGTCCTCTTTGGCCCGAGCTCGAGTTGCCGACCCGAGCCCGAAGTCGACGTCGCAGATGGCTCACAATGCCTCCTCCAGGCGGGTGTCGACGAGATGCTTGGCAGATGCCAGTAGTGCAGCGCAGGATGACGCGCAGTGACCTTGCTACATTGATCTTTAATCTACTTTACCTGCCATCTCAGGCTTGATCGAGCCGGCCATGACGCACATCATACAGTCGACACATATCGATCAGGGCCTTCAACGTCGCAATCGTATCAAGGATGGAACCAGTAGCTGTTTGACAAAAGACTCTGATGCGTCTTCAATCTTGCAAGAGAGCACCTATCGCCTGAAGCAGGCGATCACAGACTACGTGGGCTGCACACTTGTCTTCATCAACTACATTGCAGTTCGGTACAATCATGAGGGCCATCGGAGCGGAAGTGTGCTTGTAGTGTGGCCCAAGGGCTGCGAGCGCAGTCCCCTCCTTTCAGGGTTCGGGGGGGGTGCGGATTTGCTCAGTAATATTTGCAAAGGTCCTGCTGGTGGAGTTGGAGGTGGAGGGTTGGGCAGCAGCGAATCAACTTGGTATAGCAGAAGGAGCAGGCTTCAGCCTACAAGCCTCCACGATGCGGGTCCTGGACTGCCCTTGCAATGAAAGGGTCACACAATGTCACACACTACCCTGCTCTGAGAGCATGCAAAAGATTGCGATGCCCTGCTTCAGCCTGCAGGATGGTTGTTTCGTGATCTTTTTTCTCTTGGAGCTGCTGTTTCGAGTCAGCTTGGAAAGGCAGGCCTTCTGGAAGGACGGGGAGGGGGGCGGGGGGCGGGGCCGCCTCTTGACAAGATGCCGCTGTCAACTTCGGGGAGAATTTCGTAAGCATAGAAATGGAGGGGGCAGCAAAATCGCAAGTTGCTTCCCAAATGTTCGAGTCGGTTCGAGGCAAAGGCCACAGGCTCACGCCCAACGCAGGACATGGCAAACTGGTTCGATGCTTTCTTGGTGATTCTGGGCGTGGTGGATATTGCAGATTCTCGTTTGATTTCATGCAATGTGGTCTGCCTCGTCCAACTCCAAACTTCAGACATGTTGGAAACCTTCCGTGCTGATCAGGTGAGCAGCCTAAGTGGGGAAGATGGCAATATGTTGCTGAAGGTGATGCGTGCTCTCAAGTCATTACGGGCGCTTCGAATTGTGAGCAGCTTTGCTAAAGCCCTTTGTTGCCTCGATTCCTTCATGGGTGGAACGCCCTGTCGGGCGGCACGCCTAGTATCACATGATGTTGATGGCCATTATTGGGCCAAATCCTACATCGGGACGTAGCACACAACAAGTTGACCTCCTTTGTTGATTGCTTGCGAATGCAACTCGCAGGTGGTGATAGCGGGGGTTCCAATGTCTAATGGGCTCAGCGTTTGTTTTTTTGCCAAGGAAGCTTCCGATTTCTCAGTGGTCTACGAATGTTGGTGAAGGCATGCCAATGCTTTCTTCCCAGCCTTTTTTGGGCCATGATTCTGCTGAGCATCTTCATTTTCATGGGGGCCATGGTCATGGGAAATTCACTTCATGCTTACATCGCCGACCCAGCGCAAAGTTACGAGGAGCCAGGCTTGTCATTTGGAAAGTTTTGCACGAAGGCCTCAAGCTGTTTCTCAAGACTCTTGCTCATGTTGCCAGATTGAAGCAAGCTGAGGACAGGGTGCAGATGTGGAATTTATTTGGTACAGCCTATCGCTCTGCATATACGTTATATGAAGTGACGTTCGCAGGATGGGCCTTTTTGCTATCTTTTGCTGCATATCGTGAGAGTTGTGTCATATATACAAACATGTGATCATCTGAGTTTGCCCGGGAGTGTCGGCACAGTAGGCTGAGCCAGCTCTTGAAGATCAAGTGAGTAGGCGCGTGTGCTCATCCGGCACCTCTGTCTATTTGCAGGAAACTGGCCATCAAATGCACGGCCAGTCTTGAACAAGGTCAGCCATTTGTATTCAATATTCTTCGTCGTGTACGTGACCATCATTGTGTTCGCACTCATCAGAGTGATAAGTGCCATCTTTCTGAAGGACAAGCCGTTGCAAAGTGAGAGAGAGAGAGAGAGAGAGAGAGAGGACGGGGAGAGAGGGAGAGGAGCAACATGGGAATGGAAGGATACTTTAGATGCCGCCCAGAATGATGCAGAGCACATGGTGGTGGAGAAGATGCGCAAGAAGGCTGAATACGTGCGCAAGTTGGAGCATTTGTTCCAGGCCATTGATAGTTCCGGGAACGGACTCATCACAGAATCGCGGCTGACGCAGATTCTTTCAAATCCCAAAGTCGCTGCCTAAGTTGTCATCTAAAGCAGTGGATCTGTTGGTGCACAAGCCTGGCAGCTACACCATGTGAGCGCTTGAGAGGCGCACCTGAAGGTGCAGGCATGTGCAGGCATGTGCAGGCATGTGCAGGCATGTGCAGGCATGTGCAGGCATGTGCAGGCATGTGCAGGCATGTGCAGGCATGTGCAGGCATGTGCAGGCATGTGCAGGCATGTGCAGGCATGTGCAGGCTCTCCAAACCCGACACCTGTTTGACTGCTAAGCTAGGGATCGTTGCGAAGGTTGACCGGTGGCAATTTGCTCAGACATTCAGGCACATGTACACGGACGATCGTAGTCCTTGTAGTCCTGTTAGGTCACGCCCGAGGGAACTGCGACCGCGTGGGCACGCACACTCTGTTCATGTTTTTCTTCGTGTTGCCATGTCGCATGAGTGTCACCTCTGCAGATCGTTATCTCTCGTTCGCCATATGGGATCTGGTTCGTTGAACTTGCTTAACTCAGTCAAAGCCACTGCGCGTTGTAGCGTAGCAAGAGACCGGCAGACTGTTCGTGTCACATAAAGTGCACGAAGTACATGTGCTTCCAAGCCACCACCTCCGCTGTGTCTTTAAATGTCGAGTGGCAGAAGCGATAGGGCTCCTTGTGACTCCCGAAGCCGTCAGCATCACCAACACCGAAACTTTCAATTGCCTATAAGAGTTGTGCTGGAACCGTTTGCGCACGGAGCAGACTGGCCTCACTTTCTTGCAGCCCGCTTAGGTCGCCGCTCTTTTCCAAACTCTCGAATTGGATGTGCATGAGAGCGCGGCGCTTTTTCATTTGTTAGACGATGGTGATGGCGTCGTGACGCAGGCCGAGTTCATAGATGGAGTCATGCGCTGCAAAGGGCCAGCACGTGCCATCGATCAAGTAGCAATGCATGCAGAGCTAAAGCAGCTGAGCCGGAAAGTCGGCAAGATGCTCCATCAAATTGATTCTCCCCAACGATTTGCTTCCAAAGGCGAGCCTGTGAAATCACAATCGCCTCGAAAGCAGCAAACTCTCGCAGCCTTCTTGCTCGACTCTGCTGATACTGCTAGTTTGCGTCAGAATTTGAATGCCCCATTGAGCTGAATTCAGCTCCTCTGCGTGTGTGTACTGCAGATTGCGGGTGCGGTACGGTGTATCACCGTGTCACTGCATCGGACTGCCGCAGCTACTGTACAAATATTTTGTGAACTGAATAGGTTGCCGACACAAAGGCCAGCTGCTGACCCACATTCAACGACATAACGAGCTCTTGACAAGGTGTGGAGGGCTGCCTTGCTCTGGCTCGCTGGTCGAGACGAACAGGTGCGCATGCCAATGGAAGTGTGACACTGCGCCTCAATGTTGACTTCTGAGCTGGGGGTGATTTCTTCCACAGACGACTGCTGGTTGTGTCTGTTGTACCGCAGCAACGTCGTTGCAAATTGCCCTCTTGCCTTTCAAGCGTATCTGTCAGGTGCACATTGGGATTCAGTTTCAGGGAAGCACGTAGCATGTGGAAGGGCACAAATCCAGGAAACACCATGAGAAGCCTACGAGAGAACCATTTTCAGGTAATTTTACCGTTGTTGAAACTTTCTCAGGCACTGGCTTTCTTATTGCCTGGCCGTGTATGCTGGATCTTTCGCCGCTTCTACTGGTAGACATAGACCTTCGAAGCAAAAATCAGGCTGCAAGGACAATTGTACACGCTTGCGCGCTGGCATTTTCGTGGTGGGGACTGAGTAAAGCTGTAGGTTTTGTCGTAGGCTGGTGAAGGGTGTCGTGTAGTGACAAACTCCTCTGGCTGGAAGATGCCTGTTGTTGCGGCTGATCATTTAGAAGTTCAGAGCGAACAGAGTGAGTTAATTTTTTCATGCGATCTCTAGACGTGTTTAGATGAAGGCTTGAGGTGTGCTCATGCCTTCCTAGCGAGAGTTGAAATGTATGGCAGGCAGAATTCACAATCGGAATGAGCCGCGCTTGGCATGAAGTGGCCACTCGAGACTTGCAAAGTCTCAACAACGCGTTTAGGACACCAAACTGCACCACAACACTGCTCCACACACACAGGACGAGCACACGCAAACTAGACGATGGAGTGTGATTTGGTGCGCCCGCATGCTAGCAGAAGTGTTGCACAGGTGCTGGAAGAATTGCACGCAGCCTGTCGATTGCCTCATGGGCCAGGGCCGATGTCGTGCTGCGTACTGTTCGAGCAATTTTTTTTGCTTCGTAATTGCAAGAAGTCTTTCCACTCAGGTGACTGGGGCCTCTGGGAGCCTTCAGAGCTGCTGCCTTGGCATGAAAGCCATGAACATGTCAGAGTTCAACTCAGGGTTTAGACTTGCACAGGTTTCTCAAGTTTTGCGGGGTCGCAGGTGCTTAGCCTCATCTGACCAGCGGCAAAGGGAGCGCGCGGTGTGGAGCCGAAGTGTCGGCGTTGCTCATGACACGCCATGTCATCATTGCGCATCAGTCTGCAAAATCTGCAAGCACTGCCGGAATCTGGGAGCACCGCTGCAGGTCGTCAGAGCAGCAGCAAACGGAGGGCACAGGGCTTGGCAAGTGTTCCATGCCTTCTTCCTGCATCTTGCATATTCATCGCCTGCATCAGGGAGCCCTGCACCGGCACCATTCGCGAGACCATGGGGCGCCCGACAGTAGCTCTTCAGACTTGTGGGAAACGCGTGCATTGGCTGCGTACATCTGTATTGCCGGAGGTGCTCGCAGGCAGCAGATGCAGTGGCTGATTGTGAGCAGAGCCGGCTTGTTACGGATGTCTTGTTTCAAGCGCTTTTTCTGTCAGGGCTGAAAAGACAACAGCAAAGAAGAGCAAATGACAGCAAATGACAGCAAGGATTCCGTTTTGGGACCGACAGAGTGCCAGGCTCTCTCCTTATGGCGAGTGGTCGGCTTGCACGGCGTCCTGCGGAAGTGGACTTCGCACCAGGTCTGTATGGCTCAAACCGAATTGTTGTCCCCTTTCAAGAGGCTGCCAGTGCGAATGCGCATGTGCAGGTCCCGGACCATCGAGGTTCAGGCAAGTGGAGGTGGTCAGTCCCAACCCGAGACTGAAAGTGAGTTGCATATGGCTGCGACTCCACACTCCAGTGGAACAGGCCGTGGCACATCAGGGCTCGTAAGACAAGCTGTCTTCTTCATGTACTTACAAGGGCCCTCAGTGTGGTCCTCTGAGTTGGGAGTCCTTATCTTATGCCAGGGGTCCATACTTCAGACCCTCCAAGAAAGTACGGGACCTTATTATTCGACCATGTAACGATTCCCGCTGTGTGATTTGTGAGAAGCCCTCTCCATGACAAGCCATTCCTCTGCAAGCAGGCCTCCGAGACAGGCCCGCTATAGACGCACCAAACCGTGTGGGGGGTGACATGCGTACGTTTCAGAGAGGGCGTGCGGGACCCCGCAGAAATAATCGGGTTTTGGTTTGCAGTGTTTTACAGCATATCAGGTACTTGGGCTCAGCATCTCAAGTGCCCAGGTCATGTCAGGGCCCCCTTGCGCTGCTGGAGCCCTGCAATCTGGGCCCTTGCCCATGCCGCGACCTCGAACTTATCGCATGTGAAGGTCTCGCCTTACGAACTGTTGCCTCATTTGGAGATTCGCATAGTTGATGGCTGCTGCGGCTTTTCTAGCTTCCTGTGTAAGGCAGAGTGATGGACGCAGCTTTTTCGCAATGGAGCGTGCCTCAGCCTCCGTAAACTTGCAATGCGTCACCTGGATCAAGCTCGCATCTAGATCTCAGTGCAGGGAGGAGTGGAGCACTTGCAACAACGGCATGCACATCCGGAAGCGAAAGGCCAGACTTTAGACCCGGTAACCAGCTAACTGGTTGAGTCAGTGTTGCAGTGACACATGTGACTGGGTTTCGGCGGATAGGTGTATCGTAGTGTCTTTTATGGACTCCAATGGCAAGAACATGCTGGGGCAAGGTGCAGGAGCAAGCTTCCTGCGGAGGAAAGCCTGCTTTAGGCGCAGATTCCGCGGTGCATGTGTTTCACATTGTTCCACGATGCAGGCTTGTAGGCAATGTAAGACACGTGGAAATTGGAACTCCTAGCGGTGTCAAGCGGTGCGGACAGAGGTTCGATGACCGAGATCAAAACTTGCGGTGACAGGATTGACTGCCAGGCGCGTCTTTTGGTGTCGTGCCGGATCGGTGACAAAGGTGCGCTTCATGTGACTCGCACAATGTCTGCACGACCAGGTATCTCCCTGGGCACCGTGGGACGAGTGCGACAAGAGCCTGCCGGCTTGGTTGGGCGCGGCCGAACTATGTTCTCCTATGACCATTGCTGCCAAGGCTGCGGTGGTGGCCAGCAGGAGCGAAACCGTCAAGTGACCCAAAACCCTCAGAATGGCGGCAAGACGCCCGGTGCTCAGCACAAAATCAGCAGTTGCAATATGCTGTGTCAAGGTTGTGCTGATCACCTGCAGAACCATCGTCGGCAGACCAATGTAGGGCTTGTGACACGTGAGGGAATGGAAACACACACAATGCTTCCCAATTCAGTGAAGAACATGCAGATAGTTTCTTGAACATGACAGACATTCTCACGTGCTTGTGGCAATTTGGGTCTGAGATGCTATGATGTCCAATTCTTCGGTCTCCATGAGGGTATCAAGCCTGAGGTGCCTCAAAGACTTAGTGGAGTCCGCGCCCCCAGTGCACACACCACTTGGTTTGCATGTGATAATTGCATGAGGATGGCCCAGTCAACGGCTGTTATTTGTTGCGCTTGAATTGGTTTTCTAAGGACGCGGGGCTGCAACCAACAGCCATGTTCCAACCCCACAAGCTCGTAGCCGCATGTGTGCCAATTCTGCCGACAATTTTTTGTGAACTGGAAAATGTCTTGGAAATGGTCATATGGGCAGAGTCGAGGTCGAACAACGAGTTGCGAAGTGTCAGAGTGGCTGCAACCTTTGCTGACATTTTCCGGAAAAAAGGCTGCCAGTGCAAAGGTGCAGTTGCCCTGCAGCCTTGCTACCAGGTCTGCCTGGGGCGAGTGCAGCAACAGTTGTGGCAACGGCATCCATGTCAGGCTCTTGGTGCACGAGGGTGCAAGAGCCAGCAATAAGAATGACATAGTCTTCTGACATAGCATCACTCTGAGATTAAGGAAAGGAGCCGAACGTTCACTCACCTGGCGCAGGCCGGAGATGATCACAGTGTGCCCCGTTCTTTAACGGCGATCCATTGGTGGTACTGAATGGACTGAATGGACTGCCATGATTTTAGGAAGGCGGCTCTGGCCCGGGCCTTGTCTCACAAATGCTCAGCCCTTGCCACGCAGAGCGCGCAGCGCGCAGCGCGCCTTTGTGAGATTGTCGGCTGAGGCTGCGACATGCCCATGGCGGAAATGACGCCCTGCAGCGACCAATCTGGAACCTTCGCGGTGGGGCGTAGCAGCATAGTTGCTGCCGGCACAACTTTCGCTCTACAGCGACATGAGTGCGAAGACAGAGGCGAAACTAAGCAGTTTGCACGTGTGGCAGGCACGTCGCTTGCAGGGCCTTTGCCCAATGTCTGATTGCGGATGCGTCTGGTCCCTGTTCATCTTTCTGGCCTTTTTATCTCGGATCGCTCAAGAAGCGCATTGAGATTCCAGGTTTGGCGCGATTGGTCCGAGTGGAGTGCCTGCACTTGCGAGTGCGGAGGAGGCGCGGCAGCCACCACTTTCTTCGTTTTGCTGATGACAATCCCACGAGAACCGCAGGCCAAAAGACCCGAAATCGACACATTGCACGAGCTCCCGAGGCAGGCTGTACGTCCGAAGCTCGCGCTCGGAGAGCGGCAGTTGTGATTTTGGGTACAGTGCCCTGCTCCGTCATTAAGGCCTTGCGAGCCATTTGACAAGCAGCAAATCGAGCCATGCAATACCCAGCCAGAGACTGAACGGAGTGCTTATCGCAATTGCTGGGCTGAGTGTAAGCTCTCACAGTGAGGGCTTCCCATAGCAGGAAATGTGAGGAGGACCAGTGCGTGGATGCTCTCTGGTCTCCGTGGCAGGATTTGCCTTCGCTGATGCCAACCTCTCTGCTAATCTGCCACGCTGTGAGATTCCTTGGGCATGCTGGTGACGTGTTTGCAGGACTGGGAACCATGCTCCGTTTCCTGCAAAGGCTGACACTGCACTCAGTCCTGTTGAACTACTGCTGGACATGTTAGTGCGGACAGGCTAGGCTAAAGATGCAAATCAAACACCAACTCTCCGTACCGCTTGTGGAGCGCACGGATCTTTACAGATGCGAAGAGTTACAGGCTACAGGCCCACACATGCATTTTCCAATGTTCAGTGGCTGGCATATTCTAGTGCACCAGCAGCGTCTGTGGATTTACGTGCTTTTATGTGCGAGAGCCCTTCGATAACCACGGGGCCGCTGTCAAACTAAGGATTTTGCCGTCTCGGAACGTGGTTTTTTGACACTGGCTTTTTGTGATCCAACTCGTGATCAAGCGCGAACGTGCAAAGCAGGAACCGTCAAAGCCCTTAACTACACAACAGGACACAAAGGGCTTGATAACATGCCTTCGGGTCTGCCATGAAAGAATAGGCTCGCAGCGCTCTTCCCAAAGAAGGCACAATGCACCCAATGCAGCCTTGCCAATAGGCCCTGATAGTCTGAATTGCAAGTCGATCCTCTTATGGTTCATGTTCTTGATGAGAGGTGGGATTACTTGGCGTTCGCGCAAGATCACTCGAAATGCCAATGAGCCTGTGCCCTAGTGTGCCCCTGTGAGAAGACCAAAGCTTTGCTGAAGCTCTGCTTGTCAAGCTCTGCTTAGCTTGTCAAGCAGAGCTGTGCTCCTACGCTTTGTGCCCAGCTGTGGCCGGCCCGTGGTTGGTGCCTCTCAGCAGCATGCCAGCTGCAACCAAGGCTGGATGTGTTGCAGTTGCTCTGTCCGAGCGTGTGGGGAGCTTTGAATCTTCTTCTGCGTGCAAGCTTGGCTCAGAATCCCTCCTGGCCAACACTTCACAATCGCCAATCCTCATGTCGGGCTTTTTGCGCGCCTGCATACTGCTCGGCTCGTCGCTGGTATTCGGCGACGATGTCGTGCTCCTCCTGCACGTATATATGTATAGTTTTTTTGTTACATTCGAGCAGGCTGATTTCTGTATGCGCCATAGCGAGCCGAGAGGGGGAGAGAGAGAGGGAGAGAGAGAGTTGGGGCAGGCTCCAGGGCCAATGCGAGTGTCACAGCAGCCCACCCAATGCTGGAGTCTGCAAACAGACTAGTAGGTGGTAGGTGGAAAGTACTTCTGAGGCACACGAATCGTGGGGGGGAGCCTCCAAACCCCAATGAAAGAAAGACAGGGAGGGAGGGAGGGAGCGAGGGAGCGAGGGAGCGAGGGAGCGAGGGAGCGAGGGAGCGAGGGAGATAAAGGTTGAAAAGTTGCAAGGATTGTCCCGACCAGATGGTCTCGCTGTTGCAAACCAGCCGGGACATGCAAATGAAGCGGACAACGGAGCTGGTGATGGTGTACGTGGCTTGTCGTGCAAGTGTTTTTTGCATAGTCACAACTCTGCTCTGGTCCAGAACTTCGAGCTGCGGCAAGTTCTCAGCCAGTTGGAATCCGCCAGAATCCACGGATGGTAGGTCAGCTTCCCATGTTTTGATGAGGTTCCCTTCAACTTCGGCCACACCGTGGCCGAGATGGCGGCCTCACAGGGTCTCGGCTGGGGTGACTGCGGCTCGCGTGTTCCAGTGCAGGTGAGGGGGGGGGGGTCGAACCTGAATGGTGACAGCGGCCGGCATGACTTCCATCTTGAACTTAACGTGAGCAGGACTGCCTGGGCTGGGAAATCTCAAACACAACTGGATGCCCTCTCATGTGCCCCATGACATTGAAAAAGACTTGCCGACGTTATCCTTTCTGTCCGGGGGCAAACTTGATGTCACACGGTCTTGATAGTCCTTTTCCCGATAGGTACACGCCGCCCAAGCTCTGGCCCACAGAGCTAGCAAGCCAGTACTTCGGCGGCAATCGTGCCTCGGCCGCAAAGTTTAAGTTAGGTGTAGAGTGCAGAGAGTGTCGAAGAGATTCACGGAGATCGGAAGAGTGTAGATTCAGTGTAGACTCCAGTGTAGACTCCAGTGTAGACTTCAGAGTCGACTTCAGTAAAGAGAAGAGTGTCGAAGAGCTCTAAGGGCTCATTGGGTCCTTGGTTCCTTTTGAGGAACCTCTTTCGGCATCCTCCGGGATCCTTTGGAGCGCCTGGTCTCTCAATTTCGTGGCGCCTTCAGGCCGGCAGGGTCACCACACGAGAGCACCGCACATGGACTTGTGCCCTCCCCCTTAACTCATGCTCTGCACATGCTCGCACATCTCGGAAGTGAAAGGATGCAGCACCCGGAGCTTGGCTGCGACGTCAATGCTGGGGTCAAGTTGCTTGGCATCACTTGGCTGTCAGGAAGTCACCGGGGCTTTGTGAATCGTGCATAGTGATGGTTTGACTTACCACTTCTGCATGGTCAGGATGATGATGCAGAGCTACCTGACAGCTTTGGAATCTGGAGAGCCCTATGTTGAGAACTGCAACTACCTGCCGCAGGTGCCTTGATCACAGAGATTGAACGTGTGCTGTGCTCTCACCGAATCATGTAAGGGCTCAGTGTGCTCGTACTACGTAGAAGCGGTGCGGTGCGCATCCCTTTGCAGCCACCGGTCGACCACTCCAACAACTAAGTAATTGTTTCGAGGAATCAGGTCGGTATCCTGTATCTTCTGAATGCGGAGCATCCCCCACCCGCTCATGCGCACAACATTTCCTGACCCCAAAAACACGAGCTTTTTGGCGGCGTTTGTCAGCGTTCAACAGCGAAGTTTTGCAGTCCTTGGAATGCAGCGCTTGGAGGTTTTTGGCTGACTCAGGGTCTGAAGAGCGATCACGAACAGTTTCTCGTCAAGGCATACTTTGGGGTCAGATTGCAGCTGGTTGTCCAAACTCCTGCCGTCGACTCGGGTCCATGTTATTCCCCCGACTGGCGCAGTATGCACACCACTAGTCGCTAGTCTACCCGAAGGGCGAGAGGAGCAGTAAAGACCTTCCAACCCAACTCTTTGAGGCTGACTTCTTCGATGGCCCTTTGGGTGCTCAGACGGCCATCGACAACAGAAAGTTTCCGCTCTCAATGAACCAGCGCCTTGGTGCAACATCCGGCCTGTCGGACATATGCTTTTCATGTGAGGTCGGAACATAGGGCAAGGAAAGCAACTTTGGCAGCCGGCAACCTTCCCAAGAATTGGAGCCAGATTGATCTCTAGCTCAAAAGGTTGAGGTGTACATGTGGGACTTGAGCTCCACGCAGCAACTGTTGATGTGCATCCGGCTACAAAGAAACGTGAACACACCGACGTAAAGCATCAGTGACGAAAACCAAACCTTGTATTTTTATGGGTAAAACGCCCGCCCGTGTTTCTCCCGTCTCGCGTCTCCAGAGCCCGGGTGGGTGTGAGCACGCACGAAGAATCAGTGCCCGACAGATCCGTATTCCTCAGCTCCTGTCCCCCCACACATCAAACAATCAAACAGGTCGAGGGTTTAGATGGGCTAGCTCAGCCCACGCGAGGGCTGGGAGAAGCCTAAGCTGGATAGTAGCTATCGCGCAGCATGAAAGTGAACACTATGGTTAAAAGATGTTAAAAGTTAAAGCAGTCAAGAGCACATCGCATCGACTGCATGCACGACCTCGGAGCCCGGCCGAGAGCTGCGCATAGGAAATACTGAGTGAACCTCGACACGCGCGCGGAAGACCAAGAACCCGGGAAAAGCGTGGGAGTCCCAAAAATGGGCGCCTGGAAGATACCCTACCCCAGTGTCATTTCCTCATCGATACTCGTAGCCTTAGAACTTGACACATGACCGATGTGGTGAAGTCAGGGAAGAACTTTAACGGATGTCTCACATCTAGCATCTGGAATCTGGAAATGCCTGGATGTGTCTGAAGTTTGAGAAGACAATGGACGCGCTGCTCTGAACCGACGAGGTTCTTTACGCAGCACGGTGTCTCCACGATGCATATCGACGCGAGTGAGGCATGGGTAGTGGCCAATCCGCTGTCCGATGGTTCTTGGATTGTTCTTGGATTGTTCTTGGATTGTTCCTTGATGGTTCCTTGATGGTTCCTTGGTGGTTCCGGTGGTTCCTTTCTTTGTGGTTCCCTGGTTGTGCCGCCTTAAGACACGTTGGCGCAGATCGACCATGTCTCGGGGTGCGACGACGTGTGGGTGGGAGACCTGGACGAGGAGGCCAAGAGTTTGGTCTTCAAGGCAGGCCACCTTCACATTTCTATGTAATGATCCAATGCTGAGATGTGATCCACTTGAAGAGTTGAGAGGTGTACGAGCGCGACTTCGATCTGATTTGCCGAGAGTTTGGGCACTGTCACTTTGGAGAGGCAACCTGCCTGAGGGGTGTGCCCGGAATGTGCCCGGAACAGCTCTTCTATTGGGACGAGCACACGAAGATGTATGTGCCAAGGCATGCGTGAGGCGGTGAGGGAAAAAATGTCCGGGCGCTGTCGAGTGGATTGTGGCAAATGAATGCAGAGAAAGTAGTTTCAGACGTCGTGCCGAGTTCCATTGCCAGATATTTCTTGCACGCCCAGCGTGGACTGTGAATTTGCGGAATGGGCGGCCAGATCCCAAATAGCAATTCAGGAGAACGTCACATGCGTCCCTACTATGTTTTGCAATGTAACAGTCTTGAAGAGATTGCACGCCACTTTCCCTTCGGCACATGCTTTGCGCCATTCTTAGGCCTGGAGCGCTTGCACGCAGGAGTGCGATGGCGTGAAGCGGAGGCGACCTGAAGCCCTGTAATGCCCATAATGAAGAAGAAAGGAACGAGCACGAAGACGCAGGCAGACTTAGAAGACGACTGCTGTGCATTCGTCTGACTCGTGGGTTGTGTGGTTCAATTGTATCGCTACAGCCCGCCTCGGCCAGGGCCCCAGAGAAGCAATCAAAGCTCATGTCTGCGAAGGGGGGCGGGGGGGAGGGGAGGGGAATGTCCCGAAAGGTTCAACTAGGGGGTTCCCCATCCAAATTTCCCTACTGTGTGGGTTCGTGCGTGTATCTGCGAAGGGTTTATTGAAGGTGCTCCGGATGTCTCCGCGCACTTTCCTTGGTGGGTTCCTTGCAGGGGTCGGGGCCCCCTTCCGCTTTCAAAAAAAACAACAAAGCCGGCTCTTGATGTCGCTGGAAGGCCACGTGAAATCTCCAGGGGCAGGGGGTTTTCTGAGGATATCCGATCCAGGAGCGGGAGTTCGAAGACTCCCATGGGTCCGTAGCAGATCCCAACTCCACAGGTCCCGAAGGAGGGTCCTGATCTTGCTTGAGGCTACCGAGTGCCTAGGACTTCTCCAGGCTGTAGAAGGCACTCAGGGGGCTTGTTGCAGTCTTTTCCCCGACCACCCCGACTGGCTGCGCCCAGCTGGCCGCATGTTTGATGGTGAGAGAGGCGAGGACGAAGAAGACACGGCCAAGAACATGTTTTCAGTATTGGAAGCGTGGCAGTTCTGAAACCAGGTCTCGCCAGATCGCTGTGCAAGGCGCAGGACCATGGCGCGACGCAAACCGAAGTGAGTGTCGGTTACCGTCGGTGACTGTCTTGTGAGTGAGTGGAGTTGCAGTGTTGGGTCATGGCTTCCAGAAGCCGTTTTGGCAGCGACAAGATTCAGAAGTTAGAAGCCCAGGAGACGGTGCGTACTGCTTGGGCCCCGTGCACCAGCCGTTGACCAAGATCATGTCCAACATCCAACAAAGAAAGAGTTTACCAGTAGAACGAGAACACCAGCATTACACCAGCTGCTCACCTTGTGCTGCACCTAGGAATTACCCCTGCTCGACAGACAAAGGGCTTCTGGAGTTCAACAGCCCGGCTCTGTGCCCTCCCAGAGCCTGAGGGTCCCTTGAAAGCCGAGCGAAGTGTCAAGCAGGGCGTCAAGCACAGGTACTTGCACCTTGACAACCTGCAATCCAAGAACGTGCAGCTGGGTCAGGCAAATTGAAGAAAGGGCAGAGCGCAGCCATGTGTAGTATTGTGTAGTTGTGGCTTAAGGGGCCTTTTGGGGGACGTGTAGGGCAAAGAGATCCAAGAGACCAGAGGCGGAGCTGACCTACGCAGGCGTCACCAAAATGCCAGGCCTTGCGTGGCTTTGGGGCTTTGGGGCTTTGGGGCTTTGGGGCTTTGGGGCTTTGGGGCTTTGGGGCTTTGGGGATCTGAGGGCTTTTGTCTCAGAGTCTCAGAGTCTCAGAGTCTCAGAGTCTCAGAGTGTCCAGGAGACGAAGCTCCCGTGAATCTCGTCGTCACAGCACTGAGCCGATCCCAGGGCTTGCGCCGTGGCCTCAAGAAGTCCTGGCCAGCTGTATCCAGCTGGCTTCCAACAATACAGGAGCGAGAGAGGGCTTCCAACAATTTCATATGCGTCTGGAAGCGTGTTGCATCTGCTTATGTTTAGCGATCGCTGCCTTTTGTTTTAGGTGAAGAATCGACGGGCTTGTACGGGCACACTGGCAGTATTGACTTTGAAGCAGGCCGGCACCTTAGCGTGATGTCTCTAATGAGCGGCCATGCTGAAACAAACGTTGGATGCGGCAGGTTCCGAAATTGAGGTGCAGTTCATCACCATGAGGCTCCCCCCCCCCGCCCATGCGAGCGATGTCGGGTAGAGGGTAATGATTCGTTTTGCATGTGGGCAGTTGCGTGAGGCAACAGGACCAGCAAGAGGTGAAAGCCAAGATGCTGATGATAAAGCCAGCTTCTCAGCAACGCTTCTTCCCAAAGATAGACACTTTCATAGGTGAAGCCTGTGCCCCCAAATCGGAGTCTGTGAGTGTAGGCGCTGTTAAGCCACTAGAATGCTTCTGATGGCTTGAACGCTGGTGGAAAGACCTTCTTCTTGCCTGTGGCTAAGATTCTTTGACATCGCGGATGGTGCCACATTGGAGGCATGTAGTGGACCATGCCACCTTGGCCTTCCTTGCAAGGGGTTTCGCTATGATCTATTGTTTTTCGAGGCATGCCTCTAGAATGCCTTGCAATACGTGTCTGTCATTTTTTCAACTGTCTTCGTATATCAATAGCTAAAGGAGCGTCGAATCGTTTAAAAGAAAACGTGTCGTTGACGTCAACTTCATTGAGTACATGAAGAAACTGTAGGGCTTTGCTGTCGCCGGCGCATAAACTTTCCCACCAATCAGAGTTTCTTTGCTTCATCAAGATTATTCATTTCCGTGCGGTTGATTCCGTACTTAGTTCCCTTTGCTGCTTTGTGTATTCTGCTTTCATTTCTTACTGCTATGTGTCGTCTAGTTTGTCTTATCCTTAAATTGTGCCTCCCCGTGTTCGTGTCTCATTCTGGGTTCGCACCCTTCGCATAATCCGCTTCCGTTCCCTCTCGCTTGCACTATTGATGCATTGTTCCCCCATTGCTTCAACCTCTTTATAGCTTCTTCATCTGAACCGAATTGACGACTAGCAACGCAAACAATAGGTCAATAGGACTTCCAGTAGGTGACTAGATTTGCATTGTCGTGCAGCATCCGATCTGCTTTTATTAAAAAAACAACTGAATAAGCAGCCCGAATTCAATTCACACCATATTCAGTCGCGTTCAGTGGTCACCAACAAGGATTGCTTTATGATTTTCGGTGAGCACCATGATGGGACACTTGTTGGACTTCAATGCGGGTAAACAGTGAACGTCTATCCCTAAACTTTATTCTCGCGGTTGTACTACCTCATTTTCTTATCTGTTAGTGGCTCGGTGATGCTCCTGTCGGTTTTCTGGCAGCGGGTGTGGAGTAGCTTTTCTTGCTCGGGGTTTTCAGGTGCTGGGGTTCTTCTGATGGTCTTTTTGGTAGGGGTAGTTCTGACGGTGAGAAAGTTGACATGGCAATAGCTAACCACTCATCCGTGCTTTTTTCGGCATGCTTTAAGCATGTAGCGGGCGCCAGAGGCGAGCCGCCTTAGCCGAAAGCTGGCAATGCAGGCCCCAGATGGCAATGAAGCATTCTTGAGCTACGAGTCCCAGCTACGGCCTCAAGTCTGCAGCGATCAACACGTCCGTCACGTGCGTAGCCAGCTGGCTTGAGTCTTCGCAGGCTATCTTCAGACACTTCCGAAGATGGCACATTAGTGGTGACGTCTCAGATGCCTGGATCGAATCCGCCGAAGGAGAGGCTTCTAGTAACTCCAGTGTTTGCGCGACAGCATGAGCTCATGTGGGCAGGATCCAATGAGCGCAAGCCCTCAACAAGAGATGCATGCAGCGGCCATTTTGTGGAAGGCGCCCTGTGCCCGTCAAATGCGTCCGGATGGACGTTGTGGTTCAGCGTGATGCCTTTGCATCTTGCGGGGGTCTTCAGGATAGCAGCCGCGCCAGCATCAAATTCAGGACGCGGCCTGGATTCCGTGCTGCTCTTGGACGAGTGGAGAAGACGCGAGAAAACGGAGCATGTGCCGGCAGCTGCCATGTGGCCGTAGACCGAGGCAAAGGTCTCTTCTTTTCAGCCAAAGCTTGCTGGAGGGGTGACTGTTTGCAGCCGAGATGTACATCGCCCGTGGTCCTTGGAGTCCTAGCAGTTGCAACGTGCCTTCAATTGATCATCTTGAGGCCTGGTAAGTGCCTGCGGACGTGGTGAAGACTCAGTCGATTGCGCATTTACCCCGGACATCCTTATTCTTTGTGGACATGATCTGTCCATTTTGCATGCCTCATCGTGCCTCACCGTGCCTCACCGTGCCTCACCACGAGGTCATGGACGAGTGGCAGAGTTGGGCTCCTTGCTCTGTCAGCTGTGGCCGAGGGCAGCGGGCTGCGGTCTTAGCAGTCTTGCACAGCACTGAGACAGCATGCTGGTCAAATCATTGGTAAAAACAACACATGATTCCACGAGGTCCGGACGCGAAAGGTGAGGACCATGAATTCACATGGTGGTCGCCCATGCAAGAAGCTGAGAGTTGGGTGACCACAAGATTGTGCATCCTTGCTGGCCTCTCTCGCGAACCACTGTCGACACCTTAAGGTCACGTTGATCTGTCTGCCACGCACCCACCGAGTTTTGGGTCACGAGCCGTCAGCTGCAGCACGGCTTGCAACAAAATCTCAGGCAACCGAAGGTTGCGAGATGACCCCATGTGCGGAGGCTTGATTAGACTGTGCTCCTTTCTGTTCCCTGCTCTAAGGCGGAGCGACACCGAGCGAGGGAGACGGAGAGAAAGGGAGAGAGCGAGCGTCGGGGGAACGCATCGCGCTGGGGGGGGGGGGGGGGGGGGGGGGGGGGAATTTTCACCACAAGACTGCACCGCAAGGACTGGGTGCGCCCGCGCGCGCGGGGGGTTCCTCGGACCCCTCAAGCCCCGTAGAAGAAGAAGAAGAAGAAGAAGAAGAAGAAGAAGAAGAAGAAGAAGAAGAAGAAGAAGAAGAAGAAGAAGAAGAAGAAGAAGAAGAAGAAGAAGAAGGAGAGTGTCTCAAATCTCAAATGACGCGGGGATCTCCCCTTGCCCCAAGAAACAAAAGAGACAAAGACCTGCCATCCCTGCCAAATCCATACCTCGTGGATCACGTTGAGATGGTGGTGGTGGTCGTGCTTGCTCAAAGACGCAAATGGCGGCGTGACAGTTGCCGCCCTTGCTGTTGCAGAGGGTAGCTTGTGTGTGCAGGCCTGCCAAGCGCAGGACTGCGAATGGTCGCAGTGGTCTGCGGGGCACTCAGAACTAGAGGAGCTGGCAGTACTCGACTATGCTAACGGCGCTTTGCGATAGTTGCAGATGCCTGATGGAGAGTTTGTTACCACCCCTGATTCAGGACTGGGGCGCCTGCGACAAGTGCGGAGGGCAGATGAAGCGATTCCGAAACGTGATCAGACCGTGGGATCCCCAACCGCCAGTATTGTCAGCTGACGTGCCATGTTGTGTTGTTCCGGACAGTGCCGCCACCTTGTGCCTTCAAGCTGGTGCGGGACACCAGCTTGAAGGCAGATTGGGCCCACCTTGTGCCTGAAAGCTACTGTGGGACACCAGCCCGCAGCCCTTGAATCTGGAATCCGGGGGGTCGACTTTAAAATCGCGTAACAGTCTAGTACCGATGGGCCCGCCCAACTTTTGTCCGCACACTGATATCGAGGGTGGTTCTAGGGGGCCTGTCACGGAAGTGCTAGCAACGCTGTCCTTCACATTTTTGGAGCCTGTGACCAGCCAGATGCAGGAAACCTCTCCAAATGCCAATAAGCAAAGCAAAAGCACAACAATTTACGAGTAAAAAACCCAGACGATCGGAGATGCCCGTGAAGAAGCGTTGGAAGCCACAGGTCCCAGTGCGGCGGCCATGGCTGTGCGTCCAGCACTCGGATGCACGAGCTCGGGTGTCCATGCGCAGACAGCAGTGCAAGGGCGGCGGCGGCGGAGGAAACCACCAGCTGCCCTCGAAAGTGCCGTCTCCTCAGTTTCGCCCCAGTGAGAAACATTAGCAACACACCGGTCCGGCTCAGCGACTTGTCACACTCGTGCTGCCAAACATCAGAGAGGTCATGAGCTAAGCTACTGTACCTGGGGTGCCAGCCTCGGAAGTCGCGTTTTTCCGAAGATGCAAAGAGAGAGTGCTACGAGAGCAAGAGACTAAAAGATGAAAAGAGAAGGAGTAAACTCCGACTGGAGCACCGTGTGGCCATTGCAGTCATTGCAGTCATTGCAGGTGATTGGAGGCCATACGGCGAGTGCACCTCGACCTGTGGCCACGGCACGAGCCCTGGACGTTTGCGTTTGCGATCACTGTCTTCGCTTCTCAGTATTTCTCAGTGCTGTCCAGTGTCGGGTCTTGGAGGCATCAAGAAGCGTACCCGAATGCTGAAAATCGTGGATGCCCGCTGCTGAGCTGCTTTGCTGACGAGCAGTCGTTGAGGACGTTAGGGCGGACTTAAGGAGCCGGTGAAGTCCATCATTGGCGAGAACATCCTGGCGCGGATCTATTTGAAGGGCAGGGGCTGCTTATGTGTACAGTTGTAGTGCAAGTAGAATAGAATGTCGTGGACTTAGGTGGAGGTTGGGACAGATTAGACGCAAGCGTCCCACAACCATCAAGGGCTGGCAACGCCACATATGGCTAGATCATAGCAGACCTTTTTTTTTGCTGACGCCTTCCTTTCAGTTCAGAGCAGTCATAAATTGTCTAGGAAGGGAGACTGAATCAGACACATAAGTCCTGAGTGATGAGTCGTATGAGTGCAGCCGAAGTGATCCGCACAGTCCTTGGCAGGGTGCCGACGACCTGCAACGCAAGCCGTGGTGCTTGGAAGCTGTAGGGGTGTGACGCAGCATATACGCAACGTTTTAGGTGTTCAATAGTGCAATCAGATGTCAGATTTTTTTGAGGAGTCCTGGCATCTTTCGGTTCAGCCGAGCAGTGGAGAGACCCTTCCAAATCGTTTTATGCCGAGGCTTGTGGAACTGACGGCGCGTGCGCAGCAGCTGCAGGAGCGGGAGCCCTGTGCTAAAAGAACTGCGCACATGCTCCTGGCATGTCCAGGCATCACGCTCCCGACAACTGGCTGCATGCTTTGCCGCTCCGTCCTCAGTGGAGTACTAGGTCGCTAGGTGCTCCTGAGCGCTGAATGAAAGAAGAGCAACCAGGAACTGTTTGCTCCTGGAAGGGTGCAACCGGTAGAGCCCCTTGTTGGGGAGAACCTTGAGCGCCGCGACATAGGACAGCCTTCGAAACTCCGACCATGCAGGCTTGACGCTGCAAGAAAATGCAAGAAAGACATGTGATTTATGTGATATTTCGGTTCTCGGCAGCCGTGCCGCAATGCAAGAGACCTACGGCCAGTCATGGAAGCCGGACCTTTCCACCATTGCCGGACTAGTACAGTTTCACGTGCGGCTGCTGGCAGTTGGCAGTTCGGGTTTTGTTGGCCTTTTAAAAAGCACCTCTTTGCCCCTTTGACCGAGGCCGGCTTCTTGGGACTCGTTGCTTGCGTCTCATTCGGCCGCCGTAGCGCCTTCTTCCATGCTGGGCTCGCGGCTTAGATCCTTCGCTGCTCTAGGGCTGAAAGTACAGGACCCGAACTTAGGCCAACATTAGGGGAAAATTTAGGGGCCCTTGATTTTGACCTTCGAGATGCTGGGCGCGTCTGGTCAACAATGCTTCGGCAAGCCGATCGCGTCCGATCACTGTCTGATGAATATCGCCAGGCCTGGCGAGCCTCACTACCATCTTGCTGCCGGTGAAACGGAGTCCGACTAGGCCGCGGCATCACTGAGTTTGATACATGCGGTGTGGCGGCACTGAGGTATTGAAATGTGCTTTTGGATGACACAAGCTGCCAGCATGTTGGTGAAGGAAGGGGGGGGGGGTTTGGAATAGCCGCGACGGCTGGGATTCGTTTTTAATATTGTGTTCAGCCATGTTCCAACTTACGTGACCTTGGGAATGCGCTGGGACATGTTATGAAACAACGGTGTGTGAGTGATGTTGCGCTTGGGCCAAAAAGGCTCGGACACTCCTTCTGGAAACACAACCCAGAAACCAGTTGAATCCCTCTGATTGGACCAAGAAACAGCCGAACGAGTGATCCTGTCAGACGTTCAGCGTCGGCCGCGCTGTGCCTTTTCCAAGGAGGCTGGCTATGTTGTTTCATATGCTGCAGCTTCCTCCCGTTCTGCATTTTTTCTTCTTGGTCACGCTACTTCTTTCTCTTCTTTCGTGCAAGTCCGAAAACATCACTCTCACTCTCTTAACTCTTAAGGATAAGATTCGATATCGCTGTGGAATTTTCATGAATTGTCGGGTGGTAGGGTCCAGGCTTCGTTGTTAGTTTGGGCTGCGGAAGCTTTTCTGAAGCGAGAAGGGGATCAGGGGCTGAGCAACTTGAAGCAAGCACGCTCGAGGCCTGTGGGCGTCCAAAGTGATGCTCAGAGAGAGGGTCCAGGATGCTACTCCATGCCAAGTTGCAGCGCACAGAAGTTTTCAAAGGAAGCCATAAAAGCCTCCGAAACCTCATCTTGCCTTTCCTTGCATCCTGGGGAAGCCTTGCCTGGATCGAGCTTATCCGGCATGTGCTTCCAGTTTGGCGTCTCATAAGTCTGAACAAGTTGATCTCAAGGATTCGCTTTCAGAACACCCCTGGAAACAACTAAAGGAGGAGCAGCAAGATCAGACCAATTCATGTGCGCAACATACACGACTAAGATACACTGCATTGCGACCTTTCTTCGTAGATCGAACTGCTTCTCTCTTCCAGAATCGAAGCCGTCGGGGTCCAATCTTTGGTGCGAAGCAAAGCTTTGAGAACAGTTATCGGCTCTTCAGCCCGTCGGCTTCGTGGCAGGGTGGAAACCACCAGGAAGCCACATCAAATCTGTCATTGAGTCCTTCGTTTTCTTCATTTACTTTCATGAATCGCCTCCCAGGGGTCCAGTTTCGAGGGGCCGCCTGCGCTGACAACGCCCCGGCCCAGAGGGCAGTCGAATCTATGCCAGAACCACCGGAAAGGACGGTTTCAGCGCTGCACAGCACCTGTCCACACAGCCCGACTCGACTTCTTAGTATACCGAGTAGCAGCTGAGTAGCACTGAGGAACCTGCTGCGCTTGCACCAAGCAATCAAAGGCAGCCTGAGAATCAGAATGAATTGCTGGCTTTACTTTGAGTGGTGCGTGGGAGTCGGGCGATTTAGGTCTGCGGCGCCAAAGAAAGTGCCGTGGAATCTCGAGTGCCGTTGAGTGCCGGACTTGTACGCATTGCTCGCAAAAGCTCTCTTTCTTTTTCCAGGCTCTAGATACGATTGTGAGCAGTATGTAGGGCGGGTGGGAGAAGCACTTCCTGCCTGGATCTGGCCTGGCTCAGCAGATGTGTGGGACATTGTGGGACGATTTTTTGCATATCATACTATCATACCGACCGTGCCCAGCATGTCATGTTAAAGCGCGCTGGCCTGTGGCCCGCAATGTTTCCCAAGCCTTTTCTCTTTGAGGACCTGGGCGCAACGCAGAGGGGATGAGAAAGCCCGTGACCATCGCAGATGTGGAGGGTGCAGTGCGTCAACCTGGAATTTCAATGGTTGCCGTGTGCTTCGAATGCTTTGCCTGCTCTAGCTTTGGTCACGCTTCAGCTTGAAGGGGCAGATGCACCACATCCCGTCACATCCCGTCATTCCGGACTGCAGCCAAGACATCACCGGCCATTCAATCCCTCGAGTGGGCAACTGTTCGTACCATGAGATTTTGCTGTCACTGCCGAATTTGCGATGCCATCTTCGTGGACCCGATAGACCCGATTGCAGTTCCGATTGTGCCCAAGGTGCACTCAGTGTGGAATCGTCATGAAGTTGATTCAATGATTCCATGACCGAATTGGAAGCTCCGGAAACTTGGGGGCGGGGGACGAAAGCTCCAAGCGTCGGACTCGAGGACCGCAGAGGGATAACGACAGGCGGAAGCTGGAATTTATTGCCGAAATTCCCATCCTGTCGATAGGGTGCCCCAACTTCAGCCGTGGAACCTGGACTTCCGTCGAATTTTAGTTGAGTTTATGTCAGGACGGAGCGAGACATGGCGAGTTTATTTTACCTGAGCTGAGGATGCCGTTTTCGGAAAGCTCGGGCCAAGGCTGTTGATGACAGCAGGTCTGAGTAGAAATGTCTCTGTGTCTGTGAGAGGTCAGCAGGGGGGACGGAATGCGGAGAAGCGAATAGCCTTAGGACGGCATGCGTCCAAGTATGCTTAGAAGTGATGCCATGCGTAAAGTGACGTGGGAGGATCTAGGGCCTACATGTGGTTGCTGAACGCTGCCGTGCATTACCAGGTGAAACGTGTTTCACATCTCTGGTGTCGGCAAAGCTTCCGAAATCAGCTCACCAGGGCAATGACCGCAATACTGGTACAAGCTTGCATGATTCTAGTGCGTTTGTTTTCGGTTTAGCTTGCAAGGCTCCTGCCAAGCCCGTGAGCTTCAATGGACAGGATACATCGGGCAACGACCACGGAGGTCTGCAATGCAAAGTGAAGGCATGAGAAGGAAACAGGCGGAGTTGCAATGAGGGATGTCGGCATGCGCCAGTCTTCTGGGGGTTGATGTTGTGTGTTCCTGCTGCCTTCGCTTGACGAGTCTCAATTCAGGTGCGATTTGCTTCTTACAAGCGTGAATGTGACGGGAAGATGTTGAGTGCGTGCCAGGGTTCGCAACGCATCTCAGCATGTATGCACCTATCAGGATGAAAAGGCACTTCGTCCATGCTCTTGTGCGCAGCCATTCGGGCTTTACCAAGGCCAGTAGCACGTCGACGATGTCGAGATTTTGTGCTCTTGGTGCATGGACATGGCTCATCGGGAGTTGGATCCCAGCATTTCCCGCTTGCGACATCTCGGTGATCGCCGCAACGAATAGCGCCTTTGCAGCACAGAAGGTGGATGGGAGCGTCATCACCTGGGGTGACGCAGCCTCCGGAGCTGACTCAAGTGGTGTGGCAGCAGTCCTGGCCAGTCGCGGGGTGTCTTTCATCTATTCAAACGAGTGTGCATTCGCTGCGAAGATGTTGGACGGGTCGTTGGTCCCCTGGGGTGGCGCTACCTGCGGCGGCGATGCTAGCTCCGTGGCAGGTGAGCTTGATGATGGAGTTACGGAGGTTTACACCATAACCCAGGGCTTTGCGGTACGAAAGTCTGATGGCAGGGTTATCACATGGGGAGCAACTTCAAGTCCTTCGTTTGCATCCGCAATGGTCCATCTCACAACAGGAGTAGATTCCATTGTCAGCTGCGGTGATGAGTTCGCCGCCTTGAAGCTCGATGGGACCGCGGTCAGATGGGGACCCCTCTTGCTTGATGCCGAGGTGATATCCGGGGTTCTCAGCATTCAGCCTATGGAGCACTACAACGTAGCTTATGAGGATCCTCGATATCGCTGCGCATTCTTCAAGAGTGGCAATAGCGTGAGCATTTCTGCAGCTGGTTCTTCTATGTCTTCGAGTCTTACACAGACAGAGAGCCTATCAGCAGGACGAGGCATGTATGCAGCAGGGCCAGATACGGGATCTTCGCGCTCCTACAGTATCTGGAAGCAAAACGGAGATGTGGAGCAACTATTGTTTCCTCCATCGCTTTACGCAGCATGGCGCAATCCGCAGGTTCCCCTTGCGACCCGAAATGTGGTGGACGGGCCTGTTTCGTCGGTTACTGTGAGCGGAGGTGCTTACGCCTGCCTCAAGCAGGATGGTAGCGTGCATACGTTTGGCTGGGACAATTACGGCTCAAAGCCAGATGATGATGGGGTTGGAAACCTGCTCACATCCGACGTCGAAGCCGTTGTCGCAAGTGGGGTTGCTTTTGCAGCCCTGAAGACTGACGGCACCCTGGTCAGCTGGGGAAAAGATGTGCCAACGGGATTTACCCTCTCCGGTGTGGTGCAGGTGGTGTCAAGCCATGAAGCTTTCGCAGCAGTCAAGGAGGATGGCAGTGTTGCCACATGGGGAAAGTCGACTTACGGAGGGGACTCCAGTGCAGTCGCTGGCCAGTTGGCATCCGGGATCGAGTTCATCCAGGCCACAGGCGCTGCTTTCGCAGCCAAGCATGTGGACGGAAGTGTCATTACCTGGGGAGATGGCGCAAAGGGTGGGGATTCAGGTCTGGTCGCAGATCAGATCTCATCTGGAGTTGCCACGGACCCTTGCTTTACACGAACCTCCACAACGGGCACTACATCAACGCACACGCTCACCACAGTGACGGGCACTTCGTCCACCAAAACGTCAGCGACGGAGACGAGCTTCACGAGCACGAGCACTACGACGACGCTCACTCAAACGTCGTCCACCAGCAGCACGACCTCGACGACTGGGACATTGCTGACGGCAACAACGCTCACGTCCACCACGACCAGCTGCAACACATGCGTGTCAAGTGGTGGCAATCGAGAGCCGCTCGACGAGCCTCTTGACCCGCTACTTATTGCTGCCCTGGCCACTGGGTGCGGTGCTATGGTCCTCTTGGTCGCTTGCTGGATCTATAACTACAATCGAAGTGGGAATTGCTGGACCAGGATGCTGAGGTTCTTCAACGGAGAGACGGCAACCTTCGATGCAGGTCAGGGCACGCAGATCGGAAGCGCAGCAAACTCGGCAGACGCACAGATCCAGGCAGACGCACAGATCCAGTCGATTTAGGCCTTTACGCCTGTGGCATAGTGTCACTGTTCTCACTGCAGTCAGTTTAATTTCAGGTCCCATCAGGTCAGCTGAATCTGAAGATGGTTCCTGAGATTGCTGTCATGATTCCCGAGAGTTCATTGCTCCCATGTACAAGTATTGTGTCCCAATTGACTTTTGAGCCCGTGCTTGAGGCTGAAGTGGTCGTTGAAGTTTCCTGTTTGAGTGGGAAGCCTGGTGAGTGGGCCGCAGAAGCTCTTAACTCTTAAGGATAAGATTCGATATCGCTGTGGAATTTTCATGAATTGTCGGGTGGTAGGGTCCAGGCTTCGTTGTTAGTTTGGGCTGCGGAAGCTTTTCTGAAGCGAGAAGGGGATCAGGGGCTGAGCAACTTGAAGCAAGCACGCTCGAGGCCTGTGGGCGTCCAAAGTGATGCTCAGAGAGAGGGTCCAGGATGCTACTCCATGCCAAGTTGCAGCGCACAGAAGTTTTCAAAGGAAGCCATAAAAGCCTCCGAAACCTCATCTTGCCTTTCCTTGCATCCTGGGGAAGCCTTGCCTGGATCGAGCTTATCCGGCATGTGCTTCCAGTTTGGCGTCTCATAAGTCTGAACAAGTTGATCTCAAGGATTCGCTTTCAGAACACCCCTGGAAACAACTAAAGGAGGAGCAGCAAGATCAGACCAATTCATGTGCGCAACATACACGACTAAGATACACTGCATTGCGACCTTTCTTCGTAGATCGAACTGCTTCTCTCTTCCAGAATCGAAGCCGTCGGGGTCCAATCTTTGGTGCGAAGCAAAGCTTTGAGAACAGTTATCGGCTCTTCAGCCCGTCGGCTTCGTGGCAGGGTGGAAACCACCAGGAAGCCACATCAAATCTGTCATTGAGTCCTTCGTTTTCTTCATTTACTTTCATGAATCGCCTCCCAGGGGTCCAGTTTCGAGGGGCCGCCTGCGCTGACAACGCCCCGGCCCAGAGGGCAGTCGAATCTATGCCAGAACCACCGGAAAGGACGGTTTCAGCGCTGCACAGCACCTGTCCACACAGCCCGACTCGACTTCTTAGTATACCGAGTAGCAGCTGAGTAGCACTGAGGAACCTGCTGCGCTTGCACCAAGCAATCAAAGGCAGCCTGAGAATCAGAATGAATTGCTGGCTTTACTTTGAGTGGTGCGTGGGAGTCGGGCGATTTAGGTCTGCGGCGCCAAAGAAAGTGCCGTGGAATCTCGAGTGCCGTTGAGTGCCGGACTTGTACGCATTGCTCGCAAAAGCTCTCTTTCTTTTTCCAGGCTCTAGATACGATTGTGAGCAGTATGTAGGGCGGGTGGGAGAAGCACTTCCTGCCTGGATCTGGCCTGGCTCAGCAGATGTGTGGGACATTGTGGGACGATTTTTTGCATATCATACTATCATACCGACCGTGCCCAGCATGTCATGTTAAAGCGCGCTGGCCTGTGGCCCGCAATGTTTCCCAAGCCTTTTCTCTTTGAGGACCTGGGCGCAACGCAGAGGGGATGAGAAAGCCCGTGACCATCGCAGATGTGGAGGGTGCAGTGCGTCAACCTGGAATTTCAATGGTTGCCGTGTGCTTCGAATGCTTTGCCTGCTCTAGCTTTGGTCACGCTTCAGCTTGAAGGGGCAGATGCACCACATCCCGTCACATCCCGTCATTCCGGACTGCAGCCAAGACATCACCGGCCATTCAATCCCTCGAGTGGGCAACTGTTCGTACCATGAGATTTTGCTGTCACTGCCGAATTTGCGATGCCATCTTCGTGGACCCGATAGACCCGATTGCAGTTCCGATTGTGCCCAAGGTGCACTCAGTGTGGAATCGTCATGAAGTTGATTCAATGATTCCATGACCGAATTGGAAGCTCCGGAAACTTGGGGGCGGGGGACGAAAGCTCCAAGCGTCGGACTCGAGGACCGCAGAGGGATAACGACAGGCGGAAGCTGGAATTTATTGCCGAAATTCCCATCCTGTCGATAGGGTGCCCCAACTTCAGCCGTGGAACCTGGACTTCCGTCGAATTTTAGTTGAGTTTATGTCAGGACGGAGCGAGACATGGCGAGTTTATTTTACCTGAGCTGAGGATGCCGTTTTCGGAAAGCTCGGGCCAAGGCTGTTGATGACAGCAGGTCTGAGTAGAAATGTCTCTGTGTCTGTGAGAGGTCAGCAGGGGGGACGGAATGCGGAGAAGCGAATAGCCTTAGGACGGCATGCGTCCAAGTATGCTTAGAAGTGATGCCATGCGTAAAGTGACGTGGGAGGATCTAGGGCCTACATGTGGTTGCTGAACGCTGCCGTGCATTACCAGGTGAAACGTGTTTCACATCTCTGGTGTCGGCAAAGCTTCCGAAATCAGCTCACCAGGGCAATGACCGCAATACTGGTACAAGCTTGCATGATTCTAGTGCGTTTGTTTTCGGTTTAGCTTGCAAGGCTCCTGCCAAGCCCGTGAGCTTCAATGGACAGGATACATCGGGCAACGACCACGGAGGTCTGCAATGCAAAGTGAAGGCATGAGAAGGAAACAGGCGGAGTTGCAATGAGGGATGTCGGCATGCGCCAGTCTTCTGGGGGTTGATGTTGTGTGTTCCTGCTGCCTTCGCTTGACGAGTCTCAATTCAGGTGCGATTTGCTTCTTACAAGCGTGAATGTGACGGGAAGATGTTGAGTGCGTGCCAGGGTTCGCAACGCATCTCAGCATGTATGCACCTATCAGGATGAAAAGGCACTTCGTCCATGCTCTTGTGCGCAGCCATTCGGGCTTTACCAAGGCCAGTAGCACGTCGACGATGTCGAGATTTTGTGCTCTTGGTGCATGGACATGGCTCATCGGGAGTTGGATCCCAGCATTTCCCGCTTGCGACATCTCGGTGATCGCCGCAACGAATAGCGCCTTTGCAGCACAGAAGGTGGATGGGAGCGTCATCACCTGGGGTGACGCAGCCTCCGGAGCTGACTCAAGTGGTGTGGCAGCAGTCCTGGCCAGTCGCGGGGTGTCTTTCATCTATTCAAACGAGTGTGCATTCGCTGCGAAGATGTTGGACGGGTCGTTGGTCCCCTGGGGTGGCGCTACCTGCGGCGGCGATGCTAGCTCCGTGGCAGGTGAGCTTGATGATGGAGTTACGGAGGTTTACACCATAACCCAGGGCTTTGCGGTACGAAAGTCTGATGGCAGGGTTATCACATGGGGAGCAACTTCAAGTCCTTCGTTTGCATCCGCAATGGTCCATCTCACAACAGGAGTAGATTCCATTGTCAGCTGCGGTGATGAGTTCGCAGCCTTGAAGCTCGATGGGACCGCGGTCAGATGGGGACCCCTCTTGCTTGATGCCGAGGTGATATCCGGGGTTCTCAGCATTCAGCCTATGGAGCACTACAACGTAGCTTATGAGGATCCTCGATATCGCTGCGCATTCTTCAAGAGTGGCAATAGCGTGAGCATTTCTGCAGCTGGTTCTTCTATGTCTTCGAGTCTTACACAGACAGAGAGCCTATCAGCAGGACGAGGCATGTATGCAGCAGGGCCAGATACGGGATCTTCGCGCTCCTACAGTATCTGGAAGCAAAACGGAGATGTGGAGCAACTATTGTTTCCTCCATCGCTTTACGCAGCATGGCGCAATCCGCAGGTTCCCCTTGCGACCCGAAATGTGGTGGACGGGCCTGTTTCGTCGGTTACTGTGAGCGGAGGTGCTTACGCCTGCCTCAAGCAGGATGGTAGCGTGCATACGTTTGGCTGGGACAATTACGGCTCAAAGCCAGATGATGATGGGGTTGGAAACCTGCTCACATCCGACGTCGAAGCCGTTGTCGCAAGTGGGGTTGCTTTTGCAGCCCTGAAGACTGACGGCACCCTGGTCAGCTGGGGAAAAGATGTGCCAACGGGATTTACCCTCTCCGGTGTGGTGCAGGTGGTGTCAAGCCATGAAGCTTTCGCAGCAGTCAAGGAGGATGGCAGTGTTGCCACATGGGGAAAGTCGACTTACGGAGGGGACTCCAGTGCAGTCACTGGCCAGTTGGCATCCGGGATCGAGTTCATCCAGGCCACAGGCGCTGCTTTCGCAGCCAAGCATGTGGACGGAAGTGTCATTACCTGGGGAGATGGCGCAAAGGGTGGGGATTCAGGTATGGTCGCAGATCAGATCTCATCTGGAGTTGCCACGGACCCTTGCTTTACACGAACCTCCACAACGGGCACTACATCAACGCACACGCTCACCACAGTGACGGGCACTTCGTCCACCAAAACGTCAGCGACGGAGACGAGCTTCACGAGCACGAGCACTACGACGACGCTCACTCAAACGTCGTCCACCAGCAGCACGACCTCGACGACTGGGACATTGCTGACGGCAACAACGCTCACGTCCACCACGACCAGCTGCAACACATGCGTGTCAAGTGGTGGCAATCGAGAGCCGCTCGACGAGCCTCTTGACCCGCTACTTATTGCTGCCCTGGCCACTGGGTGCGGTGCTATGGTCCTCTTGGTCGCTTGCTGGATCTATAACTACAATCGAAGTGGGAATTGCTGGACCAGGATGCTGAGGTTCTTCAACGGAGAGACGGCAACCTTCGATGCAGGTCAGGGCACGCAGATCGGAAGCGCAGCAAACTCGGCAGACGCACAGATCCAGGCAGACGCACAGATCCAGTCGATTTAGGCCTTTACGCCTGTGGCATAGTGTCACTGTTCTCACTGCAGTCAGTTTAATTTCAGGTCCCATCTGGTCAGCTGAATCATGCTGAATCTGAAGATGGTTCCTGAGATTGCTGTCATGATTCCCGAGAGTTCATTGCTCCCATGTACAAGTATTGTGTCCCAATTGACTTTTGAGCCCGTGCTTGAGGCTGAAGTGGTCGTTGAAGTTTCCTGTTTGAGTGGGAAGCCTGGTGAGTGGGCCGCAGAAGCGACTGCAAAGGTTTGTGCCTGGCATATGTCGGTGCCGACTGCTGCTTGAGGGGCGGCTCACTGTTTTGTTGAGGGGCCTTAAGGGCTAAGCCTCATGCGTTGCCTGGCGCTGCTAGACCCTCTGGATGCAACTGATGCAACCGCAGCGAGAAAAAGAGATGTCCGGGGATTGTAAGCTGCAAAAGTGTATCCATCTTGTGCATTGGTTGAAATTGATGGTCCAGCTGTCTTGCCAAAGCCAAGCCCGGAGTGATCATTGCCAGCGTAGCCTCTGAGACCATGATGTGCCCCAGGGAGGACTTCCTCTTGAGGGCACTTTTCTGAGCTATGTTTGGGGAGCCTACATGGGCATTGGCTCTCATGGGCGAAATCCTCTAATTGAAAGGGTATCGTTGGGGTATTTGGGGTATCGTTGGGGTATCGTGAAGGCACCAGTCAGAAGCCCAAAAAACTAAACATCCGCTGGTCCCAAGCTTCGCAAATCAACTTTTAGGGGAGGGACATAGACGTCATTCATATTGCGTCCACGCCCAAAACACTGATATTTACGGCGATTTCGCCTTTTTGTACAACATACCGCACAAGGATGTGGAACAAGAAAGTCTGTCACAAGCGTCCATGCCTTTCGCGACCATGCCCAAATCACCTCTATTTACAACGCTTTGTGCCCAAAAACGCTGGTATGTACAGCGTTTTCGCCTCTTTGTACAACATACTGCACAAGGATGTGGAACAAGAACGTCTGTCACAAGCGTCCATGCCTTTCGCGACCATGCCCAAATCACCTCTATTTACAACGCTTTGTGCCCAAAAGCACTGGTATGTACAGCGTTTTCGCCTCTTTGTGCAACATACTGCACAAGGATGTGGAACAAGAACGTCTGTCACAAGCGTCCATGCCTTTCGCGACCATGCCCAAATCACCTCTATGTACAGCGCTTTGTGCCCAAAAGCACTGGTATGTACAGCGTTTTCGCCTCTTTGTACACAATAAACTGCACGAGGATGTGGAACAAGAACGTCTGTCACAAGAGTCCATGCCTTTCGCGACCATGCCCAAATCACCTCTATTTACAGCGCTTTGCGCCCAAAACGCTGGTGTGTATAGCGTTTTCGCCTCTTTGTACAACATACTGAACAAGGACGTGGAACAAGAACATCTGTCACAAGCGTCCATGCCTTTCGCGACCACGCCCAAAACACCTCTATTTACAGCGCTTTGATGCCCAAAACGCTGGTATTTCCGGCGTTTTCACCTTGTTGTACCCCATTTAACCTTCAAACCTGTAGCCTGTAAGCTTAACCCTCAACATAAAACCCACGACGCGGACTTCAAATCCCAAGTATATACCCCAAAACTACAGTGAGACGCATTTCAAAACTACTATGTAGTGTGAAAGCCTGGCCCCCCAAATAGACATAGTTTTCCCAAAGTGCTTCAAAAAGCCCACCCCTGCCGATGTTTTCTGCATGTCCTGACTTGTGTACATGCCTTCCGTACCACCACGCAACATGTTGTTTCTTGCGACCGGTCCTTGATAACGCTTGCGTCCATTGGGGCTTAGCTTTGTAACTGATTGTTTTTTGGGGCATCTAGTGTCACAGTTCCCCAGAGAAAGGCTCGAGTTAGGAAATGAAAGCATGTGTTTGAGTTTTGGGAATCCGTGGTACCTGCGTCCATTGGGGGAAAGGGCCCGGCCATGACTTGGCCAGGACTTTTGCTTTCCTGTGGAATCTCGGAAAATGGTCAATCTGAACGGAAGTATGATGCCTCTCTCGGAGCAGAAAAAACGAGCGGAGTAGAACGCACATCCCTTTCACTAGGAAAGGCGGCGAGTGTTCAAAAGCATCCTTTGGAACACAATCTGTCTGCATTTCTCTGGCGTCTGCTTGAGTACAGTAAGCCTGATACATTTGGCCGATCTGGTCCAGCATTCTGCCCTCCGTGCACCGCGCTCGTCTCCGATTGGTGTTTTTCCGCCCACAAGGCTTTCACTTTCATTACCGATGGGCTTCCGGCCCGGACTTGCCAGAACGAAAAAGGACCCGAAACAGCACCACTGTTTCTTTGCCTAATCGCAAAAATAACAACGGATTAGTACTGGCGAAACTCAAGTTTTCAGAAACTTCAGGAGCTTCAGTGCTTCAGGCGCTCTAGGAGCATGGTGAAGTTCGCGCTTCAGGAACTTCAGCGCAGCGGGAAGCTCGAGTTTTCAGATTTTCTAAGAGCGTCAGTGAAGCGTGAAGCTTGACTGCTCAGAACTGAGAAGCTAAGAAGGAGCTTCAGCGAAAGCGAAGTGGTGAATCGTGATGCGTGAGGCTCGAGTCTACGCGAGGCAACAGGTGCAACATGGGCAACACAGGCAACAATTTTTGCACAGCGCTGAGTGCAACATGCAGTCGGCTTGTGGCTTTTTCCGTCAATCAGCTGTGCGTAGTTCAGTCGGCTTGTGGTGCACATTCATTTGTTTGCGTAACATCATTTCTGTAATCAACTTGCTATTTGAAGTAAGCGACCTCTGATGCGCACAGCAGAAGAAACTAACAACAACCTTCCTCACTCGCCGAACTTGACCAACAAGCACCCATATCCGCAAAACATTCATTGGCATAACATAACGCCTTCACCGAACATCTCAGTCATCCCTATACAGTCTCAGCATGTCCCTCCTTCCTGTTTGCTTTACTTCCTCGTCCAAAGCATATACAAGTGTGTTTGCAAGCTTCTCTCTCACGCTGTGTGTCCGTCTGTGTTTGAGCACACCACACCTTTAAGCTTTACCACCTTTTCGCGGGATCCTCCATGTGCCCTGAAAGGGCCTCGTTGTTTAAGGCTGCTGTGAGCGTTTAGCCGCATGATGCCAACCGTACGCCACAGTACTTGGCTCAAACTCTGCTGCCCCTCTTTGCTTCGCGAAGCCGTGCAGAACAATGCCAAAGGTAGAGGGTGATGGCTGCCTCGGTGCGTGTGTTGAAGGTAGCTTGCAGCAACACCCGTCTTCATTGCCCAGAGCTTGCGTGCTTCGCACAAGAGTACTGAGAGTTGTTGCAAGATGTTGCAGTCGTCTGAGTGCATTCCAGGTGACCCGTCATCTATCCAGACGCACGAGTCCTACAAATATGTTGGAGAATACCAAGGGGAGTACACCACAAACACAGAGCACGTGTACGTGGGCAACGGCAGCTTAGCTATTGCTCAGCTGTCATGCGTTGAATGTTGAAGGTTTTGCAAGTCAACATGGGGATAGTCAACATTGGGCATAGGGCCGATGAGTGAAGAAATTTAGAGCATGTCTCAATTGCCACCTATAGAGACTGTACCACAACGTCGGCACAATCTCCTTCAAAGGATTGTGATGGCATCTGTCTGCTGTAACAGAGTATTCCAAGAAGTTTTGTAACAGAGTATTCCAAGAAGTTTTCCAAACAACTCAAGCAACGTCCGAAGACATCTGTCGCACACCAGAGCCAGCTCGTACTTACGGGCGGCGCAAAACCAACAAACCTAAGTGCGCGCGCCCCGTTCCGGACTTTTCAACTTTTACGACTTGACTCCGTTGCACAGCTGCGAACAAGCACCCGGCAGAAATCGTTCGAATCCGGCCCGTTGACTTTGAACATCAACAACGTTTCAGCCGATGGCAGTGCTAAATGAAGCCGAAGATACGAACGGCATTCGGGAATGGGATGGGGTGGAAGGGGGGAGGAGAAGGATTTTCGACATGCTTATGCATGGTGGTAGACGTGGGTTGCAAGAGGCGGCATTTACTGTTCATGCCAGCTTGTCGGCTCAGCTTGCGCAGATCTGCTCCCAGGACGTGGTGACTGGGAACGCGAGGTGCGAACCACCTACGCTGGTTGGAAAGTGCGTTGGTACTGCATGGCTCTCCTGGGAGCACTGCTGTTCATCGCACTTGGTACCTTTGCTCATCCCATCTCATCCCTGTCATTGCACTTTGTGTCTGCACATGCATGCACATGCTCTGCCACTTTTCTAAAGCATGACAAGAACAGGTTGGCTGCTGTGGTGGCTTTGGCTCCGTATACCGAGCCAGGACCAGGGCCACGACCAGGTAGAGACCTTGAACTGCTACGAGGGATACCATGACTGGGAGACGCTGTGGGATGCGCAAAAGCAAGCTGCCTGCTGCGATCGCTATGGTCGCGCATGCCCTCATTTCCACGTCGAGCACGATGTCATCCACCAGCAGGTGCCTTATCCAGTTTCGTCACCCCCACACTACCACTACGTTCCGGTCCCCATGCCTTCTCCACCGCATGTCGTCTACAAGACCCATTACGTGCACATTCCGGCGCCGGCTCCACCACCGATGCCGCCGATGCCACCGCCAGCACCTGTGCATCACTTTGCGTACAACTGCCGTGCCGGGTACTCGAACTGGTACTTCGGATGGTCGCACCACAAGAAGGTGTGGTGCTGCCACCACACAAATCGCGGCTGCCCTGGAACCTGGCATGGCAGCTACCACCTGCACATGCACGTGATGCACGGGGTCGGCCATGCCCACGGGCGCATCTACGACTGCGCGGCCGGATTCTCCAACTGGATGCAAGGTTGGTCCGACTCCAAGAAGGACTGGTGCTGCAGCCACGAGCACAAGGGCTGCGTCAAGTACCACTGCACCGGGCATGTGCCTTGGACCCAAAACGGATTCGAAGAGCCATTCGATAATTCACGTTGAACGCTCGGGGGGAGCGATTTGACGACTTGAGTCCGTCGCATGCGCTCTTATCTGCTCGCATGAGCTTCTGACAAAGGCTGGCCAGTGGGACACGGCGAAGTCGGCGTGGTGCCTTGGTTCGAAAGGTGATGTTCGGGGAAGCTACGAGGCGGCTGCCTAGCACAGTGCGAAGTAGTGCGACCTGCGTGGCATTGCAGCATGCGCCGCCTTTGGCCTTTGCCAGCGCATGTGGCGTGCTGTGCTGAGGTGCTGCGCGCACTTCCAGAAGGGCTGCCCGCAGACCACGCTGTCTCCACTGAAGTGCGAGACCCCTTGTGAGATCCAAGGTGCGGGACATCTGGCTTGGGCATGCTTCTCTTAGTTTTTCTCACGTGCCAACGCCGCTGTACTGTACGAATGCGTTGATCCGAAATGCTCGCCACAGGAGAGACGGAGACGTGCATGAACCGCATCAAGTGGACCAAAGACAACGTGTTCGGAGACAAGGTCTGTGCATGTCTGTGCAGTGCAGTCGCATGAAAGAAGCAAGCAAAGGGCTTGTTGGATCAGTCCCCAACTGATGTGAGGACAACAAGTGCGCTTTGGCCTACAGCAAGGTCCAGGTGGAGTGCGACGTGTGCCGATCCTGCTCCATCCAGGCATCGATCGGTTTCCCACAAAATTCTTTCCAGGCTGATCCTCACATGTGTTCTGAATCTGCGCTCAACCGACCGAAATCTGGAATGCAGGATGCGGGCTGCGGCACTCCGCAAGGCGCGGGCTCGCTCCCCTTCGACTGCGAAGCGGCCATCAACAACTTCTTCCGCGCCGCCTGGCCTGCTGGAGTTGCGTTGCTGGTACGTTGCGTTGTTGCAGACCTGTTGTGCGGTGGTGCCGAAGTGCCGTTCTGAGGCCTGGTCTCCAGAGAAGAAGCACTGGTGCTGCACCAAGCAGGGCAAGGGCTGCGAGGGCCACAGCCCCCCCAGCGTGGATGCGGGCTACGGCATGGTCTGGAAGCACGTTCAGGCAGCGGGCATTCGTCAGAATTCACGTGCCAAGTCCCTCTGCATGGTGCTGCAGTGTGCTGTGGTACAGGTGAACGGCTACTGGACGTGGGTGGCTGTGCATGGGCACGGCCATTTCAGCATGCCCTACGACTGCCATGCTGGCCTCGCCAACTGGCACACTGGCTGGTCTGTTGGCAAGAAGGTGCCTCGCGGCCGTTGTTCAATGTCTGTGGAGTGTCACAGAAGCCATGAGCCCTTGCCATGACTTGCAGGGCTGGTGCTGCAGCCACCAGCACTTGGGCTGCGCGGCCCCTGGCGGAGCAGGGGGCGGCGGAGGCGGAGGCGGATGCGCAGCGCACCGCCAAAAAGCCAAGCTGCAGAGGGGACGTGCCCAGTGCTTTCAGGAAGCGTCCACGTCATCCACGTGATCCACCACGGCGGGGGCGGCGGCGGCGGGGGCGGCTATCACAGCTGGACCCCAAACTGTCATCTACTCGCCAGTATATGATAGATCATATAACGGAGGTATAGCATGCACATGCACACAACCATGGCGTCCTGCTCAGATCACGCCCGCCCGCCGTTCGCCGCGGGCAACGGCATGATGTGGCACTGGAGCATGGCTGGAGGCGCTGACCACCTTCGGGTACGGAACAGGTATCTCTCCGCGTCTCTCCGCCAGGTGGACACTGGGTCCAAGTTGGCATGCAAGGGCACCTGCCCTTCGACTGCCTGGCCCCTCGCCTCAGAACTGCTCAGTGGCATCTTTGTGTTGGTGTTGGGCATGGTTGTGAGCGGTGACGAAGCTGCTAAGCTCCCGCGCCATGCAGGCCGGCGTCTCCAACTGGCGCGCAGGCTGGTCACAGCCCAAGAAGGCGGCACCCTTGCTTGCCCTGGCGCTTCCCCCGTACTGTCCAGCATGATGTGTGCAGCACCGCCCGCTGCGCCCGCAAGGAATTCTGCTGCCATAACTTCGGCAACTCCTGCGCCTGAGAGGGGCGTAGGAACACTTGTCTCGCCTGTCTCGCCTAGTTGCTCACTGCTTAATGTCGAGTATCAAACTTCTATTGCTCTTGTGATGGTCGGCCGCAAGATGCAGCGAGCGACAGGCAGCGCAGGTTCTGCAGCACGGGCCACCTACCGACCATCTGACATACACTGGCTATTTAGCTACAGTAGGTGCAAATGGTGCAATGACGTTTTCACGGGTCACCTGTGCAAGCAATCGTCCACATCAGCTCAGAAAAGCCTTTAGGTCAGATATATTTTTTATTGAATCCGTGTGCCACTTGGTGGGAGCACAAGTCAACTTGAAATGGTCGTGCTGCTTTTGTTCGACGCCCTCGGCACTGCTCAAAGTCGGCCTCCTTTTTTTGATTGTGGCGTGGGAATTGACGTATGTCCGGATATCGATTTCAATTTCGAAAAATTGATTTCAAGACTTGCTGCCAGGTTTTCTTACTTAGGTTAGCAAATCAATTAAAATCGATTTTGATACCCCATTGAGTTTTTCCTAGGAAGATGATTTTAAGTTCGGTTTATAATACCCTGGTCCAGAGTGTGACTGTTCAGAAGCACTTGACATCGATTCTAATTCGTTTTACTCGCCGGACCCCTCCAGAGAGTATTCGAGTTGATTTTACTAATTCCCTCCCATCATAAAGCATTCAAAATCGATTTTTATCTATTTTGCTCTCTGGGCCCCTCCAGAGAGCATTAAGAACATGTTTTTAGTTGCTTCCCATCATGACAGCATTCAAACTCGATGTTAGTTCATTTTGCTCACTGGACCCCTCCAGAAAGCTTGGGGCTGGGGATGCGGGGGCGCTGGGGTGGGGAGGAGGGATGGGGAAGGGGATGCAGGGTAGAATAGAAGGTTTAAGACCCATGCCCTCAGCCTGCCTCGTAGGACTGTTGCCCCCCGCTCCGGAACCGGCCCTCCAAGGAAAAAGGAGTTTAGGGTAGAATGATAAACTAAACTCCTAAACCCTAAACACCGAACCCTAAACCCCTAAACCCTAGAAGGCACAACACGGCTGTTTAGGATTATGCAGGGTTAAGGGTGTGTACAAACCTAACCCTCAACCCTAAACAGGGAGTGTGAGCCCAAAGACCTGAACCCAAAGCCCTGAACTCTTAACCCAGGAAGTCCTGGAACGTTCGAATATCTGAACCCGAAACCCTTACCCGCTCCGGAACCGGCCCTGCAAGCGAAAAGTATTCAAATCGATTTAACCCCCCCCCCCCGGGTCGGAGACGCGGTCAACATCAACTAGAATCGATTGTAAGATTAGGTCGCCCTGCTAGGTGTTGAAATTCGATGATATTACTTTTGCGTGGCCGACACGGCCCCCCTCCGGGCGGGTATCAGAATTGCTTTCCGTTGAAAATTGAAACCCGAACCCACCGGAAGCCGAAACAAGGGTCCTTCGGCATTCTAGAACCACGTGTGTGTGTGTGTGTGTGTCACACGCAATTCCCTTTTTTAATTCTGGGGGACGGGCTAAACAACACATATTTGATGTTCCACCGAGTTGGTGGCGGTACGTGCTGTAGTCGATCGTGAGAGGAGAGGACGGGCCAAGTGCATTTTTAATCCTTATTGCGCGAGTTGGAAGATGGTGTTCCTCGCCGATTGTTTTCCAGAGTTAGGAGGACTTCATGACGGCGTCCCCTAACTGTCGAACCGACCAGAGACTTGCAGCTCACTGCAGGCATGGCGTTCCGCCAGTGCGAAGCACTTGCGTGCCATGTTGCCACACTAGACAAGGTCACTTTCATGCATGTGCTACCTGTAGCAATGCAGTGTGTATCAGTGTGTGTGTGTGTGGCAGCAGGTGGCTTGACTTGCGACTTGGTTCTTGAGGATCTGCTCTGCCAGTTCCTCTGATCGGGCGGTGCTAGAAGCACCTTGCTCGGTGCACTGTCCGTTGGTTGAGTTATTTCATTGGAAAGACATTTGTCCGAATCAGTGAACTGCTGAAAAAAAGATGCAACAGGGCGCATGTGTTCCATGTGCTGAAGCCTCTGAAGCCGAGTGCTTTGTCAGCATTGCCTCTGCATGTCTTAGCCGTATGGCCTTCCACCAGGAAGCTTAGTGTCGAGCGGCAAAGCGCCATGCCGCTAGTCCAGGAACCCAGGAGCCGAGAAGTCACCAGCGTGGGGGGCCAGCTGGGATGCTTCGATCTCTTCTGCGAAGGCGTCAGAAGCATTTGAAAGGTAGTTTTGAGATGTTTTGAGCTCATTCGCTGTTCCCAAAGCTTCTTCGAGTTTATTATGTTTTTGCACTTCAGGTGATCCCAGCACCGTAGAGGAGCAATACCAGATGGTATGGAAGGGTGAGGGCCAGGGCTCCTACGCCGCGGCCTCCTACAAGGAGTTTGAGAAGGGACTCCTGGAAAGAGATGTCCACAGCCAGTTTTGAGTCCGTGAGGAACCTACACAAGCATGCTGCTTGAGGTGAATTCCATGAGTGCTTTCAGAATGAATCCAAGGAGGCTGGGAGAAAGAAGTCGTCAGTCGGAAACACCTCTCTTATCGACCGCGCCAGTGCTGCCTTTGCATGACGGCCCTCGTGCTTTTGGCAGCCTTGGGCTCCTTCGGCTAGATGTCGGTGTGTCAGGTTTTGGGGGTTTGGAGTGATTGCATTCAGCAGAGGCTACTTGCTGTTCTACCTGCTACACCTGCGGCATGATACGCCGCATCACTCAGAAGGGTCAGGTGTCCATCATGGGAATGTCGCACCCTCGATTGATTGCGACACAGGGTACGAAAACTTCGCGCAGATGTGGGATGAAGACAAAAAAGCCATCTGTTGCGACTTGTACGGCCGAGCATGCAACTACCACCCGCCACCTGCGTACCATCCTCACTACCCACCTCCTCATCCCCCGCAGCAGTACACCGAGTACAACTGTCAAGCCGGGTACTCGAACTGGTACTTTGGATGGTCGAAGCACAAGAAGGCGTGGTGCTGCCACCACGAGCATCGCGGCTGCCCCGGAACCTGGCATGGCAGCTACCACCTGCACATGCACGTGATGCACGGCGTCGGCCATGCTCACGGGCGCATCTACGACTGCGCGGCCGGATTCTCCAACTGGATGCAAGGTTGGTCCGACTCCAAGAAGGACTGGTGCTGCAGCCACGAGCACAAGGGCTGCGTCAAGTACCACTGCAATGGGCATGTGCCTTGGAGACCGTTAAGTTATGCCGAGAAGAGAGCAGAGCTATCAACCAAGAGGAAGGATGTCACAGCTATCTGAGGCTGGTTTTTGGAGCGCCTCTAAATCAGACTGGCGCCTCGGATCGTTTCAGTGTTGCATGACGACATCTAGTGGACGCACGAGTCCAAGACAGTGAGGTGCTGCGCCCACTTTCAGAAGGGCTGCCCCGAAACGACGCTCTCGCCGCTCAAATGCGAGACACCGTGCACGCTCAAAGGCCGGGTGAGAGCTGAGGCTGAGATGATTATGAGAACAATTCCGTCGCGGAAAAAAGGAGAGACAAACGAGAAAAAAGAGCCCAGACCTTGAGACCTGAGAGGTGAGACGTCGTCATGTCTCGAACGTATCAAGTGGACTGCCGACAACGTGTTTGGATCCAAGGTGCGCCATCTAGTGAAGTTGTAGGTGAATCGGCTATCTCCAATGTGTTCGTGCTTGGTGCCAGGACAACAAGTGCGCACTGGCCTACAGCAAGGTCCAGGTGGAGTGCGACGTGTGCCGATCCTGCACCATCCAGGCATGAATATAGTCAATGAACTACATTATGCTACATACGTTTCAGCTGATCCCAACGGGTTCGACATGGCACAGCCGTACCAATTCTGGAATGCAGGATGCGGGCTGCGGCACTCCGCAAGGCGGGGGCTCGCTCCCCTTCGACTGCGATGCAGCCCTCAACAACTTCTTCCGAGCCGCCTGGCCTGCTGGAGTTGTGTTGCTGGTACGTTGCGTTGTTGCAGACTTGTTGCAGACCTGTGGTTCGGTGGTGCCCGTAGTGCCTTTCGTGGTTGAGGCCTGGTCTCCAGAGAAGAAGCACTGGTGCTGCACCAAGCAGGGCAAAGGCTGCGAGGGCGAGAGCCCCCCCAGCGTGGATGCGGGCTACGGCATGGTCTGGAAGCACGTCAAGGCAGCGGGCGGGCTCCCTTTGCGTCATGCAGAGTGCTACGATGTGCTGTAGTGCGAGGTGAATGGCTACTGGACGTGGGTGGCCGTGCATGGGCACGGCCATTTCAGCTTGCCCTACGACTGCCATGCCGGCCTCGCCAACTGGCACTCTGGCTGGTCTGCGGGCAAGAAGGCGCGGGTGAGCCAGACCAAAGCAGTGACCCTGGCAGTGCTTCGAGCCATGTTTAGCGCAAGCAGACTTGAGCAGCGAAATGTGCAGGGCTGGTGCTGTGCCCACGAGCACACGGGCTGTGAGGGAGCTGGAGGAGGTGGAGGTGGTGGAGGAGGTGGAGGGCTGCCGAAACCGACACTGCAAAAAGCTGTGAAGGCTAAGGAATTAAGGAACTCACACCTCGTTGCAGGCACACACATCATTCACGTGATCCACCATGTTCATGGTGGTGGGGGCTACTACAGCCAGAGCCTGAGATGGAGTCACCGAGAGAGATCAAAAAAAATCGTGTGTGCAAGAATCGGCTTGTGATCATGCAAGACTTGCCCCCAAGGCCACGCGCATCCTCCTGGTCCTGCGGGTTCTGGGATGATGTGGCATTGGACTATGGCTGGAGGCACCTTTTTGAAGTGTCTCAGCTCGTTAGTGCCAGAACTCTTGGCTCGTTCCCTTAGGCCAGGGGCACTGGATCCAATCCCACGCTTCGGGAAGCCTCCCCTTTGACTGCTTCGCGGGCCATGCAAACTGGCGCACGGGGTGGTCTCCGGCCAAGAAGGTTCGCTCATGCACGCTGTCCTTGCAACACTGCCTTCCATTCTCATGTTCCTGCTGTGCTGGCGCAGCTTTTCAATTCAATCTAAGAACTGCTCACAGGACTGGTGCTGCCAGAATGAGGGCAACTCCTGTTGAAATGCCACGACATAGGGATGCTTGCTGCTTGTACGTATCTCCAATTGGCCAGATCGGGAAAATTTAGCCCTGTCTGGCCCATTGCAGCATTGAATCAGGTAAGCGCCCTGCTGTTGCTTTCATGTCGTCCATGCCTTTACGGCATGGTTTTTCCAATATACTGACTGATGATAAGGTTGTCTCGCATACCTTAGCACACCTAGCACATCTCCTGAAGAGAGCACATGCTGCATGGCACTGGAACTTATGTGATGTGCCGGTGCGAAGCACCAGCACGTTCAACAGCTTTTTCGGACTTGAAATATGTCAACCTACCAGAACAGTGCATCGTTTGTTTCAGGTCATTTGGCTTGTGGCAAAGCGACGACATGTCACAAGTGGTGCTGTCATCAGACGTCTGCAGTTCGTAGTGGCTCCAGCTTCGCGAACTCGACCTCTGAGCCATGCCGGAGGAACGCAGCCAAAGTCGTGTGGTTGCCAAAGAGGGCCATGAGGGCCTGGGATGCATGGATCTCTTCTGTGAAGGCTTGTGGGCCTCTTCGGGGACAACCATGTCGGCCATGTTCTACTGACGGTAGTTGGACCATTGTGGAATAAAGTCACAAAGCTTGCCCCAAAGACCCCGCTGATGTTGCCAGGAACCTCCCATGCGTAGACTTCAAGTCAGCGCGACCAGTCCCTCTCTTCAATTCTCATGAGGGGTTGGCATGAAGCCAGTTGATGGACAGCGCAGATCTCCTCCACAGGTGATCCTGCCTACCTCCAGGAGCAATACCAAATGGTTTGGAAAGGAGAGGGGAAAGGGTCATACGCAGCTGCATACAAAGAAGTTGCACATGGACTCTTGGCCCAAGAACCTTGATGTTTGTGTTTTTTGGCATTGTCGCCCGCCTGACTGTCTCATAATGACACATACCTGTACCATTTGTACGTGGCCCACCTACTGGTCAAGTGCAGATCAGTGTGGCAGATCTGAGGCCAAGGTGAATGGGAGAAAGTGGTTGTGAACCAGCAGTACATGTCTTACCGCCCCAAAGTGTGCTGCATGTGCTTGCTGGCGCTGATTCTGTTGGCCGTACTGGGCGCCTTGGTCATGCATCAAGCGGCTCTGCCTGGCACTGTTTTTCGATCCAGTTTTGACACCGGAGCCACAACAAGGCTATTTGCTGTTCTACCTCTTGCACATTCAGGCGACAGTGGGAGCCGATGAGATCAGTCAGACAGGGTCGGCACGAGATGCGATAGATTGCGATACCGGGTATTACAACTTCGATCAGCTCTGGAATGAAGACAAGAAGGCCATTTGCTGCGACCTTTACGGCCGAGCATGCCCCCATGCAGTTTACCAGCACTACCCACACTACCCACCTCCTCATCCCCCGCAGCAGTACACCGAGTACAACTGTCAAGCCGGGTACTCGAACTGGTACTTTGGATGGTCGAAGCACAAGAAGGCGTGGTGCTGCCACCACGAGCATCGCGGCTGCCCCGGAACCTGGCATGGCAGCTACCACCTGCACATGCACGTGATGCACGGCGTCGGCCATGCTCACGGGCGCATCTACGACTGCGCGGCCGGATTCTCCAACTGGATGCAAGGTTGGTCCGACTCCAAGAAGGACTGGTGCTGCAGCCACGAGCACAAGGGCTGCGTCAAGTACCACTGCAATGGGCATGTGCCTTGGAGACCGTTAAGTTATGCCGAGAAGAGAGCAGAGCTATCAACCAAGAGGAAGGATGTCACAGCTATCTGAGGCTGGTTTTTGGAGCGCCTCTAAATCAGACTGGCGCCTCGGATCGTTTCAGTGTTGCATGACGACATCTAGTGGACGCACGAGTCCAAGACAGTGAGGTGCTGCGCCCACTTTCAGAAGGGCTGCCCCGAAACGACGCTCTCGCCGCTCAAATGCGAGACACCGTGCACGCTCAAAGGCCGGGTGAGAGCTGAGGCTGAGATGATTATGAGAACAATTCCGTCGCGGAAAAAAGGAGAGACAAACGAGAAAAAAGAGCCCAGACCTTGAGACCTGAGAGGTGAGACGTCGTCATGTCTCGAACGTATCAAGTGGACTGCCGACAACGTGTTTGGATCCAAGGTGCCCCATCTAGTGAAGTTGTAGGTGAATCGGCTATCTCCAATGTGTTCGTGCTTGGTGCCAGGACAACAAGTGCGCACTGGCCTACAGCAAGGTCCAGGTGGAGTGCGACGTGTGCCGATCCTGCACCATCCAGGCATGAATATAGTCAATGAACTACATTATGCTACATACGTTTCAGCTGATCCCAACGGGTTCGACATGGCACAGCCGTACCAATTCTGGAATGCAGGATGCGGGCTGCGGCACTCCGCAAGGCGGGGGCTCGCTCCCCTTCGACTGCGATGCAGCCCTCAACAACTTCTTCCGAGCCGCCTGGCCTGCTGGAGTTGTGTTGCTGGTACGTTGCGTTGTTGCAGACCTGTTGCAGAGCTGTGGTTCGGTGGTGCCCATAGTGCCTTTCGTGGTTGAGGCCTGGTCTCCAGAGAAGAAGCACTGGTGCTGCACCAAGCAGGGCAAAGGCTGCGAGGGCGAGAGCCCCCCCAGCGTGGATGCGGGCTACGGCATGGTCTGGAAGCACGTCAAGGCAGCGGGCGGGCTCCCTTTGCGTCATGCAGAGTGCTACGATGTGCTGTAGTGCGAGGTGAATGGCTACTGGACGTGGGTGGCCGTGCATGGGCACGGCCATTTCAGCTTGCCCTACGACTGCCATGCCGGCCTCGCCAACTGGCACTCTGGCTGGTCTGCGGGCAAGAAGGCGCGGGCCAGCTAGAGTCGAGAGCAAAGCTGTAGCAGTGTGCAGAAGTTGTAGTTGATGCACGCAGATCTATGGCTACTCGCTCTACGGGAGCCCCCTAAGAAGATGTAAGCAGTAGGAGGCTGCGAGACCCTGCATGTCTAGAAGGCCCAGGCGTGTTCTCCATTGCCCATGCCTGCCATCGAACTTTACCAATCGTGGCGAATTCTGCAAATGCAGATGGCACTGGCCTTCCCACTCTCCTCCCAAGCATATGGACAGTTTTCGCGTTGAATCAAGAAGAACCGACGGCTTCGAAATTGCAGGGCTGGTGCTGTACCCATGAGCACTTGGGCTGCGGAGGCAGGGGCTGTGCAAGGGGTGCTTGGCTGAGCATGTCAGAGTTCTTTCGTCAGGAGGTGGAGGCAGTGGAGGCAGCGGAGGCGGTGGAGGCGGCGGAGGCGGCGCAGGCGGTGGAGGTGGTGGAGGTGGTGGAGGCAGAGTGCCGCTAGAGTGCCACTAAAGCCAACGCTGCAAAACATTCAGTCTCAGCGGCTCACCCTTTTCAGGCGTCCATGTCATCCACGTGATCCACCACTACTCCAGCCGCAGCCTGGGACGGAGATCCATGCTTGTGCAGAGGACATGGGCGCCTGATTCTGCGTGAGGTCATGGTGGCCATGGTGGCCATGGTGGCCATGGGCATTCTCATGGAGCTGCGGCATTCGACTGCCACGCGGGCTTCTCGCGCTGGCGCACAGGTTGGTCGCCAGCAAAGAAGGTGCGCTTCGAAGAGTGATTGCCTTATTGCTTTTGACAAGCGAGAACGGGGCATTGTGGGTGTACCAGCGGTCTTGGCGCAGGACTGGTGCTGCCGCCACGTGGGCAACTCTTGCGCTTGAGCTTCTGACCTTCCGGCGAACAAGGGCCAAAGGCACTTTTGGCCTTAGCGGCTGCTGCCTGGGGTCCAGGTTTTACCATTAAACTGGCAGTCAATCACTTCCAAGAACTCATGCTTTCTTTGGCCTGGGTAATTGCCCAGCAGCTCTGTGAAGGCGCGAGCAGAGCTTGCAGATACCCGCAGGGGACGAGCTGCCAACAGTCGGCATCAGCTTAGTGCCTGGGTGCAGGCGGGGGCCCTTTGATGCAAAGTCGTGTGGAGGGCTCTGCCATGCTCAGCCTCGGTGGTTGCGGGGCACAGCGGGGCACCATGTGCAGTTAGCTTTTTGTGGCACATAGTGGCATAGTAACTTAGTTTGCACTGCGAAAGAGGAATCACAAGAGCATGCAGAGGCATTGTCAAAATCTGCCATGCCCGCGGACCAATGCCACCAGATCTCACACTGATGAACTGCATGTGAACTGTGATGCGCAAGAGCCACTGCGAAAACATTGGTGTTGAGCTGAGTAGTTTCCCATGTTTCCTGGATACTGTGCAACCAGGTTTCACCCGAATCCCAAACTCCTTAAGTATGTGCCTTCCGGTGCCCACCGCGGCGTGAAATGGTCTCTCGGTGCCCATCGTAGACTTGAAGAGCGACGATGCATCCTACAGCATAAGGAGCAAATTGGAGATGAAAGGAGGGCGCTAATCGTCAACGGTGCCCTGTGGAGAGCGTCCAGCAAACGCGGCGGGCCCACGAGCCCGCCACAACTTGAGCCGAGCACTGAGAGCTGCAGGGAGCAACTTAGATTCTCCATGCGAGATCCTTGCGAGCCGCCTCTGTGAATTTTCTTGGGCCCAGGGTGGCCCGGAGTTTTGGCCAGGGCTCGGGGTTTCCGCGTCCTTTCACACGTCTCGCGCCGCTGCATGTCATGGATGGAGCGAAAGCGGGACGGCTGTGGCATGCTCAGCGCATGCTGTCCGGCCGAATTTTGAGGCAGTTGTGGCTCGATTCCAGCTCCACAGGCTCCCAAACGCTTTGGGTTTGCTTTCGCTTTTGGGCTCCTACCCGGGCGCGGTGATCTCCTTTCCAGCTTTTTAGTCTGCTGCATCATCCAATCGTTGCCCTCAAGAGGAGCCCGCACACTTACAAAAACTGAGGAGTGAGGCATGCTTTCACGTGAGTCTCTGAGGGCTTTCGTTTCAAATATTTTCAAATTGCCACTGCCGCAGCATCCACGACTGTGCTTGCACCTTGTAGGACAGCACATCGGCTCTGGGACAGGAGTTGCCTGTATCCTCGTTCCATTAAAAGCATGGCCTGCGAAGCCGTCTGCTATGATATGGTGTGTGAAGGTGCGCTGTCTCGTCGCCGTTGTAGTTGGGCAGGTGTGCTTTCTTCATTCCACTAGATGTTTGCATCACACCCCGAGGCGATCCAGCAACTAGGACAGATACGCAGCACTGGCGCCGCTGAATCTGAACATGGCTAGTTGGGTGAGTCTGGCCGTTTTCTATGGCAAAGTGCAAGACTTCCATCTGTGCTGAGATTATGTGGGTGCAAACCGCGGCTCGTATGAGCAACGTGCCGAGATGCAGTTCAGCGGGGCGGGCCTCTTGGCAGCACATATGCCCTTCCCCTCCCCGTGCATCTTTTCTTAACTCCATTCAAATTCGCACATCGCATGTTTACGGCTCATGCTTGCAGTGTGCAATGGCCCACAGTCGTTCTTTTCAGAAGTTGCAGGGAAGGGCGAATGGATCAAAGAAGAGAAGTCGGTATATACCCGATGGAGGCACCCGACAGTGCATCAAGCTGCGCTGCTGTTCCCTCGAACGTGTTTGCACTGGCGTTGTTATGGTCAGCTAAATGGTTTTCAAGACCAGTTCTTTCCTTGTTGGTGCGCTTTGCGCAAGTGAGACTCATGCAACGATCAACAAGTTAAACGGACGGCCTTCCGTAGGGCTTGCGTTGCGCAGGGTTCGGGCTTGCTGCCTCGGCTTGGTGACTCTCTTGCTGCTCTTTCTGCTGGGTGGCTTCGATGCAACTAGCGCAGGGGACGTCTGCATTCTGCTAAAGGCGTTTTTCTCGATTGCCCGAGGTTGGCTGGGTTGGTGGTTTTGGCCCCGTGTTCCGAGCCAGGACCAGGGCCACGACCAGGTAGAGACCTTGAACTGCTACGAGGGATACCATGACTGGGAGACGCTGTGGGATGCGCAAAAGCAAGCTGCCTGCTGCGATCGCTATGGTCGCGCATGCCCTCATTTCCACGTCGAGCGGGACGTCATCCACAAGGAGGTGCCTTATCCAGTTTCGTCACCCCCACGCTACCACTACGTTCCGGTCCCCATGGCTTCTCCAACGCATGTCGTCTACAAGACCCATTACGTGCACATTCCAGCGCCGGCTCCACCACCGATGCCACCGCCGATGCCACCGCCAGCACCTGTGCATCACTTTGCGTACAACTGCCGTGCCGGGTACTCGAACTGGTACTTCGGATGGTCGCACCACAAGAAGGTGTGGTGCTGCCACCACACAAATCGCGGCTGCCCTGGAACCTGGCATGGCAGCTACCACCTGCACATGCACGTGATGCACGGGGTCGGCCACGCCCACGGGCGCATCTACGACTGCGCGGCCGGATTCTCCAACTGGATGCAAGGTTGGTCCGACTCCAAGAAGGACTGGTGCTGCAGCCACGAGCACAAGGGCTGCGTCAAGTACCACTGCACCGGGCATGTGCCTCGGACCCAAAACGGATTCGAAGAGCCATTCGATAATTCACGTTGAACGCTCGGGGGGAGCGATTTGACGACTTGAGTCTGTCGCATGCGCTCTTATCTGCTCGCACGAGCTTCTGACAAAGGCAGGCCAGTGGGACACGGCGAAGTCGGCGTGGTGCCTTGGTTCGAAAGCTGGGGATGCTCGGGGAAGCTACGAGGCGGCTGTCTAGCACGCTGCGGAGTAGTGCCACACTGCGGAGTAGTGCGACCAGCCTTTGCCAGCGCATGTGGCGTGCTGTGCTGAGGTGCTGCGCGCACTTCCAGAAGGGCTGCCCGCAGACCACGCTGTCTCCACTGAAGTGCGAGACCCCTTGTGAGATCCAAGGTGCGGGACATCTGGCTTGGGCATGCTTCTCTTAGTTTTTCTCACGTGCCAACGCCGCTGTACTGTACGAATGCGTTGATCCGAAATGCTCGCCACAGGAGAGACGGAGACGTGCATGAACCGCATCAAGTGGACCAAAGACAACGTGTTCGGAGACAAGGTCTGTGCATGTCTGTGCAGTGCAGTCGCATGAAAGAAGCAAGCAAAGGGCTTGTTGGATCAGTCCCCAACTTATGCGAGGACAACAAGTGCGCTTTGGCCTACAGCAAGGTCCAGGTGGAGTGCGACGTGTGCCGATCCTGCTCCATCCAGGCGTCGATCGGTTTCCCACAAAAAGTCTTTCCAGGCTGATCCTCACATGTGTTCTGAATCTGCGCTCAACCGACCGAAATCTGGAATGCAGGATGCGGGCTGCGGCACTCCGCAAGGCGCCGGCTCGCTCCCCTTCGACTGCGAAGCGGCCATCAACAACTTCTTCCGCGCCGCCTGGCCTGCTGGAGTTGTGTTGCTGGTACGTTGCGTTGTTGCAGACCTGTTGTGCGGTGGTGCCGTAGTGCCGTTCTGAGGCCTGGTCTCCAGAGAAGAAGCACTGGTGCTGCACCAAGCAGGGCAAGGGCTGCGAGGGCCAGAGCCCCCCCAGCGTGGATGCGGGCTACGGCATGGTCTGGAAGCACGTTCAGGCAGCGGGCATTCATCAGAATTCACGCGCCAAGTCCCTCTGCATGGTGCTGCAGTGTGCTGTGGTACAGGTGAACGGCTACTGGACGTGGGTGGCTGTGCATGGGCACGGCCATTTCAGCATGCCCTACGACTGCCATGCTGGCCTCGCCAACTGGCACACTGGCTGGTCTGTTGGCAAGAAGGTGCCTCGCGGCCGTTGTTCAATGTCTGTGGAGTGTCACAGAAGCCATGAGCCCTTGCCATGACTTGCAGGGCTGGTGCTGCAGCCACCAGCACTTGGGCTGCGCGCCCCCTGGCGGAGCAGGGGGCGGCGGAGGCGGAGGCGGAGGCGGAGGCGGAGGCGCAGCGCAGCGCACCGCCAAAAAGCCAAGCTGCAGAGGGGACGTGCCCAGTGCTTTCAGGAAGCGTCCACGTCATCCACGTGATCCACCACGGCGGGGGCGGCGGGGGCGGCTACCACAGCTGGACCCCAAGCCGTCATCTACTCGCGAGTATATGATAGATAGATCATATCACGGAGGTATAGCATAGGTATAGCTATGATATATGTACATGCACACAACCATGGCGTCCTGCTCAGATCACGCGCACCCGCCGTTCGCCGCGGGCCACGGCCAGATGTGGCACTGGAGCATGGCTGGAGGCGCTGACCACCTTCACGGCACCTTCGGGTACAGAACCGCGTCTCTCCGCCAGGTGGACACTGGGTGCAAGTTGGCATGCAAGGGCACCTGCCCTTCGACTGCCTGGCCCCTCGCCTCAGAACTGCTCAGTGGCATCTTTGTGTTGGTGTTGGGCATGGTTGTGAGCGGTGACGAAGCTGCTAAGCTCCCGCGCCATGCAGGCCGGCGTCTCCAACTGGCGCGCAGGCTGGTCACAGCCCAAGAAGGCGGCACCCTTGCTTGCCCTGGCGCTTCCCCCGTACTGTCCAGCATGATGTGTGCAGCACGCCCGCTGCGCAAGGACTTCTGCTGCCATAACTTCGGCAACTCCTGCGCCTGAGAGGGGGTCGCAGGACAAGAGGAACCCATAGGCTCCAGCCGAAACCCACCTCAGCCTCACATCACTCCACTCCACGGTCAAAATTGTGCATCCTTTTTCGTCACGCATGTCTTTCGGTAGAAGAATTGAATCAGCATCAACAATATTTCAAAATGTCCATAGCTGCAGCTTTTAGAATTGTTCACAGGCTCCAAATGCTGTAAATGTCACTTGCTGTAGAACACCGACCACTCGTAGGCTCCAGCTCTTGCTTGGGATTCTTTCCTTGCCGTGTGTGTCGGCAGGTCTTCCCATTGGGCGCTTGTCGTGAATTCTCTGCTAATCTGCAGAGGGTCCCCAAAAACATACATGAGGCTGCATGATGTGGCCCAAAAACCAAGGAGTGGACTTGAGTTGAGCATGAGCCTGTGTTGTTGAACATGCTGCCAGGTACATGTCGAAGCAGTAAAGTTGGCGTACGTGGTTTGTAAGGTTATGCCTGACAAGAATATCCTGCGACCGTACCCTATGGACCAGATTGTTTCGAGACCAGAAATCTTCGGGACCAAAGCTTTGCGGACCAGATCCAGACCAGGTGATGCGGCTATCAACTCGCTGTAACAGAACACGCTCTTACTACTCCGTGATTGTTGTTGTCAGTGTCGTTTCGCTGCGCAATGGGTTGTTTTGTGTCCGCATGTCGTTCAGCAACTGCATGAGAAAGCATGCCCTGTGTTGCAGGGGACCAGTTTTGACCACCTCGAAAGAATCCTCCATGGCATCGCCTAAAAGCGTTTCCGAACAAAACTCTCCATCATGACGAGCGCTTCATGGCGGTAATGCAATGCATGGAGGTCGTGATGGCCCGAAGGCCGTGTTGCCTGACAACTTGCACATGGCATGGGTTGAATGTTGCAAGTACACCCCGAGCGGTGTAATGCATGAAGTGTTGCGCTTGGCTTGACTTGAACGACGGTGCATGGCATGATTGTCAATGGCACGAGTGCAGTGAGCTGCACATCGCAACAGAGTGACTTGCGCAACGGATTTGCATGACTGTGCATGGCAGAAGCGATGTGACGTTTGGAGTCGTATGCTTGGCGTGACTTGAACGATGCATAGCGTGGCCGTGCATGGCATCTGTGTGTGCTGCATGGTGGCAACTGGCACATGTCCCCACTTGACCGATGCATGGCGTAAATGCGACTTCACAAGTGGGTGCACACGTTTTGGGTTTACTGATGACGATCTCAAGCTCAAGCACGAGTGATGCGAGAATATTTGCGTGCTAAGTTGGCTTTTGTGTGTGGGATTCCCTGAAACCAAGGGTAGCGGAGGTTTGAGCAGTGCACAATGTTGTCGCAAGTTTCGGTACGCGTTGTAAATGCCAGGGTTGTGAACTTGTGGTCCGCGCTCAAGTTTCAATGTTTTCGCGTGTTGTTCTCAGCAGGGGGCACCTGGGGAAAGGACTGGGGCAGGTGCCAATGAAGACCCCCATCCTGACCCGTGAGATAGGGGTGGGACGCCGCCCCTACGTACCTGCTTCGAGATGCTCCGCTCCGTTCTGCATGTTTTCTTGTCAACTTGACTCCAACTCAAGTGTGTGTGTGTGTGGGGATACAACAGATTCGGCGATGTGCTCATATCCACAGTGCAGGTCCTGCTCCTGTGCCCGTGGGCAAACGATCCACATGAAAGACTCCAAACGTCAACCTCTCGGATGTTTGCAAGATGGAGTCCAAGGAACGATCCCATTTTTAGGCTTCATTTTTTCTGTCATTCTGTCATAATCCGGATGCGCCAATGAGCTTCCAAATGCAAAATGCTTGCGCCACACATGCTGTCACATATATCGCCCAGCAACTTCAGCATCTCGTTTGCACACTGCTTTCAGACAATACCACCCTTCATAGACACCAAAAGAAGGAACATAAAATGGGCCAAAAATGGGTGCAGGGTTAGAAGAACTGAAGATCCTGGAGCCCGCGATCATACATTCCAGAAGTCCTCTGAGGATCCGGGTGAAATGTTGTGGATGCTTTTTTGTAGCCATTTTGCTTGTGAGCTGCAACGTTTTTAGGGGAACAACACGAAAAACAGGCGCACTCCCACAGCATAGGGTGGCTGGTCACCGTGTTTAGGTGGGGACTTCGGCACTTGTAAATAGCCTGTAGCACTGAGTTTTAGGGCCAAAGATGCCCACAGTTGCAACCAGGCACTTTCGATTGGAAGTGCCGGTGCGCCAGAAACAACCACGCAAGATGCACAACGCATTCCGCGGTCTTTTCCTGCAGCTGGCAGGAGCTGACCTTCCGGAAGGCAATCTTGGTTTCAGTGTTTGACGCTTTGCCCTTGGATTTTGCGCACATTTGATTCCACATGCAAAGGCTTGCAAAGGATCCATCGGCATATCCATGCCAAGGGAAACGTGCGGTAGTGTCAGTGATACCATTTCTCGGACGAGCTTCAAGTTGCAAGCGAAGCATTGCAACACTTTGGGGCCGGGCTAATCCTAGTCCAAGACATTTTGACGTGGCGGGTCTTTCACACTTTTGCGCACTGGATATCAGCAAAGCTTGCTGGCGAAAAGGGGGACAAGGCGCAGAAGTCCTGTGTTTCATGTTGTTTGTTGGGTTCACATGCGCGACACATGAGCAAAATGGGGCCTTCCCCGACCGTAGCACGCAGCGTGAGTTTCTGTCCCTCTCCCCCATCTTCGGAACACGATGCCGGTCGGAGGCTGGGGAGGCAGGATGATGCGCAGCCAATTTGCGGAGAATGTCCAAGACTGCAGCAGAAGACTGGCTGTGCTCTTTGGTGATGCGGTAAGGCGGAAGTGCCAAAGTTCAAGGCGGAGGTGGTGCTAAAGTTGACGCAGCTGCAGAGCTCGATTACTGTTCGGCCTTCTGCCTGGAAGGCTCAGCGATGCGCACGAACCTGTGCAGTGATAGTTTTTGGCGATTTTATGCAATGCAAGCCTTAATGCCTTAATGCAGTCAGTATACACTTCTTGTTCTCTTCCTGCGCAGCTCGGGGATGCCAACATGGGACTGAAGCAAGCATCAGCAAAGCAAACATTGCAAGTTTGTGACCCCAAAGACGTTGAACCCTGAGGGAGCTGTACTGAATTGAGAATGCTTTCGTGTGCTTTCACGAGGTGTCCCGAGCTCACACGAACGCAGCGCGTATGTCCATGTTGGGGACTACAGTGGAAGCTATGTCCAGGCGGGGAAGATTTAAGTGTAGTGATTTTAGGCTTTTGCTAATTGTAGCTATCGAACCAGTCATGCCTTAAACATGTTGGCGGAGTTTATCGCGTTGCCTTGCAGGCATCCTCCGTCGAGTGGGTGGGAGAAGGTTGCTGGGCAAGCAATGCAGCTCTTTTTTTTTGCAGTTGCGCAAAGTTGCACGTGCCCAGATGCCTTGTGTGGGCTGCTTGCCGGCACGGGTTGCCGAACATGGTGACGCTGACCAGACATTAAGGAAGGGGCAACCTCGAGAAGGTAACGAGGGCCGAGTACACAGTGTGGAGGCGCGGGCCTACTGTCCGGTAGAGTCGGTGCAGTTGTTTATCCAAGCCTGCGGCTTCGATCTTGACAAGAACTCAGAGGAATTCGCGCTTCTCGCCTCGTTGGTGTCCCGCACCAGCTTTCAAGCACCCCTCAAAGCTGGTGCGGGACACCAGCCCGCACCAGCTTTCAAGCACCAGCTGGCCTCGAGCAGCCTTCAAGCTGGCTGCGGGACACCAGCCCGCAGCCAGCTTTCAGGGCTGCTCGAGGCAAGCTGGTGCTTGAAAGCTGGGGCGGGACATCAGCCCGCAGACATCTCGGTGAAAGCCGGCGCGAGAAATCAGCCTGCAAGCAGCTGCCAGCTTGAGGGCTGCGCGCGCTCTGTTCATGCTCATGCCATGCGACGGTTGGCAAGAAGGGCCCTTGTCTCTGTCTAATCGAGTCTAATCGCAACAAGCGTAGTGGTCCACGACACGACTTAGTACATCGGTGATGGACATCATGTTATGCTTAGAAGAATAGTGGACAACCATCGTACGTGTTGGCAGGTGCAAAGCCTGCAGCTGGGCGCTTCTGTGCATTGGGTTGTTTGCGGCTTTGGGTTGCCTGGCAATGCCTGGCAGAATTGAAAGCCGAGGTTGCTTATGTTGCTTCTTGCGTTGTGCCGAGTTATACAAGTCTTTGTCAGTGAGGAGCCGCTGAGCCGAGGCTTGTTGTTGTGGTGGCGGCTCGCCTGGCGCACACCAGCGCAAGATGAGATTGTGCCGCCTGCTCCGGAGTTCGACTGCTACACTGGCTACCACGACTGGACCAACGTGTGGGGCGAGGCACAGCAGAAATACTGCTGCGGCCGCTATGGCAGGGCATGTCAGCCGCATTATGAACCTCCGAGAGTGATCTACCAGCACGTGCCGGTGTACACTCAACCCCACACCCAGATTGTTCACGTGCCTGTCCCAGCCCCAGCGCACACCCAAGTGGTGTACCATACCCGCTATATTCACGATCACGCCCCCCAGCTTCAGTACAACTGCCGCGCCGGGTACTCGAACTGGTACTTCGGATGGTCGCGCCACAAGAAGGTGTGGTGCTGCCACCACGCAAATCGCGGCTGCCCTGGAACCTGGCATGGCAGCTACCACCTGCACATGCACGTGATGCACGGGGTCGGCCACGCCCACGGGCGCATCTACGACTGCGCGGCCGGATTCTCCAACTGGATGCAAGGTTGGTCCGACTCCAAGAAGGACTGGTGCTGCAGCCACGAGCACAAGGGCTGCGTCAAGTACCACTGCACCGGGCATGTGCCTCGGACCCAAAACGGATTCGAAGAGCCATTCGATAATTCACGTTGAACGCTCGGGGGGAGCGATTTGACGACTTGAGTCTGTCGCATGCGCTCTTATCTGCTCGCACGAGCTTCTGACAAAGGCTGGCCAGTGGGACACGGCGAAGTCGGCGTGGTGCCTTGGTTCGAAAGCTGGGGATGCTCGGGGAAGCTACGAGGCGGCTGCCTAGCACACTGCGGAGTAGTGCCACTGCGGAGTAGTGCGACCAGCCTTTGCCAGCGCATGTGGCGTGCTGTGCTGAGGTGCTGCGCGCACTTCCAGAAGGGCTGCCCGCAGACCACGCTGTCTCCACTGAAGTGCGAGACCCCTTGTGAGATCCAAGGTGCGGGACATCTGGCTTGGGCATGCTTCTCTTAGTTTTTCTCACGTGCCAACGCCGCTGTACTGTACGAATGCGTTGATCCGAAATGCTCGCCACAGGAGAGACGGAGACGTGCATGAACCGCATCAAGTGGACCAAAGACAACGTGTTCGGAGACAAGGTCTGTGCATGTCTGTGCAGTGCAGTCGCATGAAAGAAGCAAGCAAAGGGCTTGTTGGATCAGTCCCCAACTGATGCGAGGACAACAAGTGCGCTTTGGCCTACAGCAAGGTCCAGGTGGAGTGCGACGTGTGCCGATCCTGCTCCATCCAGGCGACAATCAGAATCCCACAAAACTCTTTCCAGGCTGATCCTCACATGTGTTCTAAATCTGCGCTCAACCGACCGAAATCTGGAATGCAGGATGCGGGCTGCGGCACTCCGCAAGGCGCGGGCTCGCTCCCCTTCGACTGCGAAGCGGCCATCAACAACTTCTTCCGCGCCGCCTGGCCTGCTGGAGTTGTGTTGCTGGTACGTTGCGTTGTTGCAGACCTGTTGTGCGGTGGTGCCCGTAGTGCCTTTCGTGGCTGAGGCCTGGTCTCCAGAGAAGAAGCACTGGTGCTGCACCAAGCAGGGCAAGGGCTGCGAGGGCCAGAGCCCCCCCAGCGTGGATGCGGGCTACGGCATGGTCTGGAAGCACGTTCAGGCAGCGGGCATTCATAAGGCAAGGTGCTGCAGTGTGCTGTGGTAACGCAGGTGAACGGCTACTGGACGTGGGTGGCCGTGCATGGGCACGGCCATTTCAGCTTGCCCTACGACTGCCATGCCGGCCTCGCCAACTGGCACTCTGGCTGGTCTGCTGGCAAGAAGGTGCCTCGCGGCCGTTGTTCAATGTCTGTGGAGTGTCACAGAAGCCATGAGCCCTTGTTGCCATGACTTGCAGGGCTGGTGCTGCAGCCACCAGCACTTGGGCTGCGCGGCCCCTGGCGGCGGAGGCGGAGGCGGAGGCGCAGTGCACCGCCCAAAAGCCAAGCTGCAGAGGGGACGTGCCCAGTGCTTTCAGGAAGCGTCCACGTCATCCACGTGATCCACCACGGCGGGGGCGGCGGCGGCGGGGGCGGCTATCACAGCTGGAGCCCCGAATTGTTGACAGTAGATGGCAATGAGTCATATAATACCAATCCATTATGGCCCTTAGTTATCCACCGTTTTCGGGTGGACAACTGGGTTTGGAGGGTGTTCCTTCAAGCATCAAAACTTGAAAGTGTTTCTTCTACTAGCAGCCCTAATTACTGATGATGGGCATTTCGGCAGTATGCCAACAATGAAGGACAGCTACTGGGACACTTCCGTTTGTCAAAGCAGACAAAGTAGTTATGTGGCACACGCAAAACAAAACAAACAGCTACTGGCACGCTATCCAGACCAGTTTTGTGATTATTTGACCACCTACCTCGCGCAGATGCTTGGTGTCCTGGACTTGTCCGCTTATTGGCCACCTCCTTTCATGTTGGTTTCTGTAATTTCTTTGTCTTCTTTTCAATCTCCGCGCTCGAACTGGTGCTGGAGTTGCTGCCGTTGCTGCTGCCGGAGAGACTCTTCTTGGATGTTTTTGACTAGTTTTTGCTCTGGTTGGCCACCTGCTTTTCAGTTTCTTGGTACATTCCTTTCTGCTTTCCGATGGCAAGATCATGGGAGGGGTGCCACTTAGGATCAGCGGCCGTAAAGCTGTCGATGCGAGCATGGCAGAAATTGGCGAAACGCGACTGTGTTCCAGCCAAGTTTCATCTTGACCTGAAAATGCAACAGCAAATGGTCGTGTTGTGAACGCGCTTGTGCTCGCCACTGCTTACAATCCTGTTTTGGAGCCCTCATGGAGTACGTTACAAATGCGAGCAGGCACAGACTCAAGCGTCCTTCACAGTTCAATACAGTTCAATAGCTTCCTTGACACGGTTCTGAACTGCGGCACCGTCCCCCCGGCCAAGATAAATTGTCTTAGAAGACATGCTGAATAGAGTCTGAATAGAGTAAAAGACGCAAAACATGCCCCATTTCACCCCATGTGCGGCGCCAAAAATGCGTAAGCTCGGCGCGATTGAGGCGCTGAAATGGCGCTGCATGGCGGGAATGACCGCGAAAATGGCGCTTCAGGAGTGTCGCTTCCGAGGTTTTGCAGGATGTGGATCCTGCTTCCACACACACATGCGCGCGTGCCCGCGCCCACGCCCACCCCCACCTCCACCCCCACGCACACGCACACAACCATGGCGTCCTGCTCAGATCACGCCCACCCGCCGTTCGCCGCGGGCAACGGCCAGATGTGGCACTGGAGCATGGCTGGAGGCGCTGACCACCTTCACGGCACCTTCGGGTACAGAACCGCGTCTCTCCGCCAGGTGGACACTGGGTGCAAGTTGGCATGCAAGGGCACCTGCCCTTCGACTGCCTGGCCCCTCGCCTCAGAACTGCTCAGTGGCATCTTTGTGTTGGTGTTGGGCATGGTTGTGAGCGGTGACGAAGCTGCTAAGCTCCCGCGCCATGCAGGCCGGCGTCTCCAACTGGCGCGCAGGCTGGTCACAGCCCAAGAAGGCGGCACCCTTGCTTGCCCTGGCGCTTCCCCCGTACTGTCCAGCATGATGTGTGCAGCACCGCCCGCTGCGCCCGCAAGGAATTCTGCTGCCATAACTTCGGCAACTCCTGCGCCTGAGAGGGGGTCGCAGGACAAGAGGAACCCATACGGCCCATACGAGAAAAGGGGCCCACTTTTAATTGGCATGCAACCAAGTGCTTTCGGAAGCGCTTGCAAGGGTTGTGCGCATAACTCACGAACTGGTGCACAGTAGACGCCCAAAGGCCTCTGCGCACAACATAGCAGATTTTGGTCTTTTTCGCTGTGGCCGGCAGTGTCCCTCCGCATAATGTATTTCAGTTCAACAGCATGTAGCAGCAACTAGCCTGCGCCTTTGTTGAAGCTGAGTTCAACGCCGAACACTTGCAAAATCTTGCAAAGATTCGCAAATGCATGTGAAGGGAACAGTGCTGTCGTGCCATTTCCCCGGTCGAGCTCAAGTTGCAAGCGAAGCATTGCAACTTTCTGGAGTTCGCTGGGCTGTGTCTTCATGGTAAGGGTGCATTCCATTGCCTCAAGGTTTTTTCCTGGCGAGTCCTTGATGCCTTATGGCATCTCGCCGTTTCGTGGGCAGTGCATGCTGTGCTTCGAACCAGAGAGACTAGCTATCGATGAAGAGCTGCGTGGACGCGCACACAACTTTGTGCAGACCGTCCCGAGTCTGAGACTTGTGACTGAGATGCTTGCTGAAGGGAAACGGGCGCTTGGAATTCGTTCGGGCACGGCATGCGTGTATTCAGGCCTGCTTGCGATGTCGAAGGACATTGAGTGACTCGCCGTGGCCCTCGCGGCTCCATGTCCCAGAGTAAGCAAACCCTTCGGCTTACTCGGTTCTTGCCCTGAGCTGCCTGAGCTCCTGCTTTGCGCCATGCCCGTGGGAGGCCCCGCAGAAGGGGTTGATAGAGCAAGCAGCAGTCGTCGTCGTCGCCGCCGTCGTCGTCGTCGCCGCCGCCGTCGTCGTCGTCGCCGCCGTCGCCGTCGCCGTCGTCGTCGTCGCCGCCGTCGTCGTCGTCGTCGCCGTCGTCGTCGTCGTGGTAGTGGTAATGGTAGTTGTAGTTGTAGCTGTAGCTGTAGTTGTCGTCGTCGTCGTGGTCGTCGTCGTCGTCGTCGTCGTCGTCGTCGTCGTCGTCGTCGTCGTCGTCGTCGTCGTCGTCGTCGTCGTCGTCGTCGTCGTCGTCGTCGTCGTCGTCGTCGTCGTCGTCGTCGTCGTCGTCGTCGTCGTCGTCGTCGTCGTCGTCGTCGTCGTCGCGTCGTAGTAGTAGTGTAGTAGTAGTAGTAGTAGTAGTAGAGTAGTAGTAGTAGTAGTATAGTAGTAGTAGTAGTAGTAGTATAGTAGTAGTAGTAGTAGTAGTAGTAGTAGTAAGTAGTAGTAGTAGTAGTAGTAGTAGTAGTAGTAGTAGTAGTAGTAGTAGTAGTAGTAGTAGTAGTAGTAGTAGTATAGGTAGTAGGTAGTAGGAGTAGGAGTAGGAGTAGGAGTAGGAGCAGTAGCAGCAGTAGTTGTAGTTGTCGTTGTCGTTGTCGTTGTCGTTGTCGTCGTCGTCGTCGTCGTCGTCGTCGTCGTCGTCGTCGTCGTCGTCGTCGTCGTCGTGGTCGTCGTGGTCGTCGTTGTCGTCGTTGTTGTTGTTGTTGTTGTTGTTGTTGTTGTTGTTGTTGTTGTTGTTGTTGTTGTTGTTGTTGTTGTTGTTGTTGTTGTTGTTGTTGTTGTTGTTGTTGTTGATGTTGTTGTTGTTGTTGTTGTTGTTGTTGTTGTTGTTGTTGTTGTTGTTGTTGTTGTTGTTGTTGTTGTTGTTGTTGTTGTTGTTGTTGTTGTTGTTGTTGTTGTTGAAGCACTACCAGCTCAAGCCGCCCGCGCATGGTAGCTGTCGAACCGGCCAAGGCCCCGAACTTCATCTCTTTAACAGCTTTCGGGGCCCTCTTAACATCTCAAGGCTTTCTAGCTTTTGCCAGCTGATGGCCACTTGCAGCCTTTAGCCTCTTGCAATTGAGATTCTGCCGCAGACAGCATATCCACGAGCTGGCCCGGTCCCAATTCCGGGGGGAGACATAGATCGTCGTAGACTGCATCTATCACTCCCAAGTGTGAGGGTTCTCGTCTTTCCGCAGGACGAGGGGAGTCTGATCGTGCCTCGGCACTTCAGGCAAAACAAGCGGATGGCAGAGGGGATAATTTTGAGGCTTTTACAATGGATGACGGGTTTTTCTATGCGCTGGTTCACAAAGCAGAGCAATGGTGTTCTTAGTTCATGCAGGTCTTACCGCGGCTTGACAGCAATCAACAGTGTTTTTATTTCAGTGGCATGTCTACAGATGCTGTCCGACGAAGCGGTCCTACTAACGGGAGCCTCGAGCCCCAGCCAAGTTGACGGAGACAAGCCTGAGTCCCTGCTGCGCTAGCGGCAGATCTCTATATGGCCCTTCATCATTGCCTCTGGTACTCGGAAGCTGAAGTCGGACGGCGCTGGCCAATGCGTATTTGCAAATCTGGTATTGTTCACAGTTCAGACGAGAAAGTCTTCTGATGTTTCATCACCAGCTTTGAGGATGCCGCGCAGCAGTTTCTAGTTTGAGGGGAAGCCATTTACCCAACGTTTCTCAATGTATTCTACTCCAAGCCTTCAGTGCTGAGCTAGGCGGGCTGGCGCGGCCAGCGCTTGGCGCGGCTGCAGACCTAGGGGAGAAGGTCGTGACGGCCCGCTTGCTCCAGGAGAAGCTCTTGAGTGGTTACGCAGTCCAAAAGAACTCCGCTGGGACACTCAGTGCAAGGGTATTAGCCCCGAAAGCTATGCTCGCACGCTTTTACACAACGCTCTCCTCGGCTTGTTTCTTCGCTGCGCTTGTGCTCTCAACGTCACACCAACCCACCTTGAACCCAACACCCTACACACTTTCACTTGCGCATCTTCCAATCAATGCTGGTGAGAAGGCCAACATTTCAGCCTAGTAGTCCCGTTCGTCGGGTCAGGCTCATGCAGTGCCTAGTAGTCCCGCTCGTCGGGTAAGGCAGCAAGATGTAACTTTCATTTCTTTGCTTGGTCAAGACAGCCTAGTAGTCCCGTCCGTCGGGTGAGGCAGCGCTGTGGCCTAGTAGTCCCGTTCGTCGGGTAAGGCACTGAAGAATGATGCTAGCTGGTTGCCAATTGTTATTTCAGTTTCTTTTAACTCACACTGCAGTGGCAGCGGCCTGAGCGAGAATAATGAATATCTCTGAAAAAGGCGTTCTCCATGAGAAGCCTCAGTTTCCAGCTCAGTGCTCTTACGCCACCCTTCGCTAGCAGAAGCGGCCTGAGCCACAATTTTCCTCTAGTGAGGTCGCCTCCTGGCAAGCAATCCACCCTAGTGAGTTCTCTCCTGAAGGATTGCAATGTCCCTGTGCCAACTTTAGCCTACGCAACTTCTTAGCAGGGTTTCACAGCTCAGACTTTTCCGCTTCATTTCGCTCATTGTAGGTGGTGGTTGTGTAGCTGCCTTGTAGCCTTGTTTGTTAGGCCTTGAGTCCGGATGGCTCAGCTGAACCAAAACGGGGCGGAACCTGGCAACTTTGGACTGATGGCCAAACACTTAGTTGTCAGTAGCTTCTAGAAGCAGCCGCTTAAGCCATAAGCACCACTCTGGAGCTACTGCTTTTCCTTACATGCACGTTTCGTCGCTCATATCTGCTGCATCAGCAGAGCCTGAGCGCGGGAGAGTTTTGTCTAGTAGCAGCAGCCCATAGTCTTAAGCGCTAGCTCTTCTTCTCAACTGACCGAGCATTTAAGTCGGGGATAACCCCTCCGGAACTGTGAATAATACTTTGATTGATTGCTCTGCTTTTTGAACAACTGCACTGCTCTACTCATGGGTTTTGGGTTTCAGGTCGTGTTTCCTTGTCGGTTCGTAGAGTGCAAGGTGCAGTTTTTGCCTGCTGTGCACGGACTTGGTCAAAAAATCGTGTGAGGTCCCCTCCTGGTTAAAGTCCACCGTGTTGCAGCTAGTTTGTGCAGAGTGCAGTTTTGCCTGCTGTGCACGGGCCGGGTCACCGTTGTACAGTTGATGAAAATTGACATCGTGCTTGTGAACCGCGTGAGGTCTCCTCCTAGTCCACTGACCTCCGTGTTGCAGCTAGTCTAGCCCAGCTTTTGGCGACAGCTGCCGGGCAAGACAGTCAACAACAGCGCTTTTCTTTTCTTGTCCTGCTATTTGCATTCGTTTGCTAGAGGCTTTACCCTACACACAGCGCTCAAGTTGACTTAGAAGTAGCCGGCGTTTCAAGTCATTCTACCCCTCGATGCCCGCCAAGGTGTGGGACATGACCCGCACATGCGTCCGAAATGAAATGAAATGTTGTTGTTGTTGTTGTTGTTGTTGTTGTTGTTGTTGTTGTTGTTGTTGTTGTTGTTGTTGTTGTTGTTGTTGTTGTTGTTGGTTGTTGTTGTTGTGTTGTTGTTGTTGTTGTTGTTGCTGTTGTTGTTGTTGTTGTTGTTGTTGTTGTTGTTGTTGTTGTTGTTGTTGTTGTTGTTGTTGTTGTTGTTGTTGTTGTTGTTGTTGTTGTTGTTGTTGTTGTTGTTGTTGTTGTTGTTGTTGTTGTTGTTGTTGTTGTTGTTGTTTTTGTTGTGGTGGTTGTTGTTGTTGTTGTTGTTGTTGTTGTTGTTGTTGTTGTTGTTGTTGTTGTTGTTGTTGTTGTTGTTTTGTTGTTGTTGTTTGTTGTTGTTTGTTGTTGTGTTGTTGCTTTGTTGGGTTGTTTGTGTGTTGTTTGTTGTTTGTTGTTGTTGGTGTTGTGTTGTTTGTTTGTTGTTGTTGTTGTGTGTTGTTGTTGGTTTTTGTTGTGTTGGGGGTTGTTGTTGTTGTTGTTGTTGTTGTTGTTGTTACGGCTGAACCTTGTTGTTGTTGTTGTTGTTGTTGTTGTTGTTGTTGTTGTTGTTGTTGTAGGTAACGGCCTTATAACGGTCCGCATGCTTTTCCTTACTTGGCATGTCGAAAACACTGGCAGGCGTGGTAAACTTCACGCGGGGGTGGGGGGGGGAGGGGGGGGGTCTGCAAGGCCTTTTTTACAAAACGCGATTTTGTGGGTTTTTGTGGAAAAGGGTCACCGAAGCAGTTTTCGCCACAAAAAGTGCATTTTTGCTTGGGTTTTTGACATGAGAACCAATCTTGAAAGAGAAGACGCGTTCTCAGCGAAAACGCGCGATGATAACGGCCGTGTTGCCAGCGCGCGCGAATGGCCAGAGCATCCATGTCCATCGTCCGTGTTACCAGCGCGTGCGAATGGCCAGAGCATCCATGTCCGCACGATGATAACGCCCGTGTTACCAGTGCGTGCGATTGGCCAGAGCATCCATGTCCGCGCAATGATAGCGGCCGTGTTACCAGCGCGTGCCAATGGCCGGAGCATTCATGTCCGCACGATTATAACGTCTGTGTTGCCAGTGCGTGCGAATGGCCAGAGCATCCATGTCCGCACGATGATAACATATCCGTGTTGCCAGTGTATCCATTGGCTTGGCGAAAAAGCGGCAAAAGAAGCCCAAAAGTGTACACGTAGCTTTTGGCCCTCAAAAGTCCTTACAAACACAATTTCTGCATGTGGTGTCACAAAACCCACGCACGCGAAAACCCAATTTCGACCAAAAATGTACGTCCAAAAAACACCCGAAAACCTGCACGCGCGAAAACCTGATATTTTCAGAAGCTAAATTTTCGACTGCAAAGAGTTAATTTTACGACGCCTGAAGACTAAAAACCCAAGCGAAAAACGCGTTTTTCGAGAAAAACGCACAAAACAGCAAACTCGTGTTTCACAAAAAGGGGTCTTTGACCCCTCCACCCCCCCCAGGCCCCGCATGCTGAAGTTTACCACGCCTGCCAGTGTTTTCGACATATCACATAAAGAAAAGCATGCGGACCGTTACGAAGCCGCGACCTAGTAGTGTAGTAGTAGTAGTAGTAGTAGTAGTAGTAGTAGTAGTAGTAGTAGTAGTAGTAGTAGTAGTAGTAGTAGTAGTAGTAGTAGTAGTAGTAGTAGTAGTAGTAGTAGTAGTAGTAGTAGTAGTAGTAGTAGTAGTAGTAGTAGTAGTAGTAGTAGTAGTAGTAGTAGTAGTAGTAGTAGTAGTAGTAGTAGTAGTAGTAGTAGTAGTAGTAGTAGTAGTAGTAGTAGTAGTAGTAGTAGTAGTAGTAGTAGTAGTAGTAGTAGCAGAAGTAGTAGTAGTAGTAGTAGTAGTAGTAGTAGTAGTAGTAGTAGTAGTAGTAGTTAGTAGTAGTAGTAGTAGTAGTAGTAGTAGTAGTAGTAGTAGTAGTAGTAGTAGTAGTAGTAGTAGTAGTAGTAGTAGTAGTAGTAGTAGTAGTAGTAGTAGTAGAAGCGGCGGTAGCGTTAGCGTTAGCGGTAGCGTTAGCGGTAGCAGTAGCAGTAGCAGCTGGAGAAGCAAGCCCCGCGCAAGTAAAATGACGCAAAACCTCATGTTTGTGCGGAGATTGGCAGAGGCGTCGTGGGTGGCAGTGGTGTTGGCGGTGGCGGCAGCTTTGGCGGTGGCGGCAGCATTGGCGGTGGAGGCAGCGTTGGCGGTGGAGGCAGCATTGGCGGTGGCGGCGGTGGCAGCGGCGTGAAGGTCGATGGTGTGGGCCCAGATGGCTGCATGGCCGTATGCTTTGAAGGCAGGTCATGCTGGTACGTGGCACCGTTCAGATTGCAATGGTTGCTGGTCAGCCTGCCTGTCACCAAGTCACCGAGTTCTTTTTGTTCAGGTGACCCGAGCTCCGTCCGCGAAAGCGCGCACTACAGGTATGTCGGTGAGAACCGGGGTGCCTATTCCCAGGCTGGCCAGGAGTAAGCTGTCACGAACCAATCGCCTTTTGGCACCGACCCTTCCTTTGGTCAGTAGTATAGTTCCATTCACGCGCCTGCATGACTTGAGCATGGCTTTGCTTTGCAGGCTTCCCAAATCCAATTCGTTGGCGCAGGCAGGTTGGGAGCACGTTCCACTTAAAGCCCACGGTGGCAGTCAGAGCTGTTTTTTTTTGCAACAAACACTGATGCTGTGGGGCTTCAGTGCGGCTTCAGGAAAGGGCAACCTGGAAGAGGTGAGGACGGGCTATGTCGGCTGGAGGCCTTCACCTGAACTCGCGGCATTGTTTCTTGTTACGGCAGGCATGATCCAATTGGTCTGTCATCCTGAAGTGCGACTGCGCTTGTCTTTCATCTCCAGGTGCAGGGCAAGCTGTGTGGCCCTCATTTGCGCGCTTCTGCTTGTTGCTGTGGGCCACTTGACAAGCATTCAGCAGCTGCAGTTGGAGTATGTATGTTGGAGTGTCATTGGCGGTGACATCTCAAGCACCAGCGAGTTTTGGGATCAGAAGCCTGTTGCACACCTTCATCAAGCATCTCGCCCTTGACGTTTCTTACTGTAGCCCTCAGTGTACCCAAGCTGAAAGGACCGGCTTCTTTGCGCGCGGTCGCGCTTGTGGAATTTGTTGACTCTCTCCGAACCTCTGAACCAAAATCAGTACCCTGAAAGGCCCAAACCTGATCCCCTTTTGTGATGATCTGGGCGGTAAGTGCAGTCCGTACAGGCTTGCTGGTGTGGCGGCTTTTCTTCTGGACACACGTAGCCGCAGATGAGATCATCCCCACGCCTAGCTACGATGAGTTCGACTGCTACACCGGCTACCATGATTGGACAAACATGTGGGGTGGTCAGCACCAGGAGTATTGCTGCACACACTATGGCAGGGCATGCCCAAGGCATCATGGCTGCAACGGTTCCTGGCGTTTGTCCAGCAAAGGCTAGCATGGTTGATGTGCTGAGTCTCTCAACTCCCTTTTCTTGATTGGTGCATGCCCAAGGCATCCCGTTCCTCCGAAGGTGATCTACCAGCACGTGCCGGTGTACACTCAACCCCACACCCATATTGTTCACGTGCCTGTCCCAGCCCCAGCGCACACCCAAGTGGTGTACCATACCCGCTATATTCACGATCACGCCCCCCAGCGTCAGTACAACTGCCGCGCCGGGTACTCGAACTGGTACTTCGGATGGTCGCACCACAAGAAGGTGTGGTGCTGCCACCACACAAATCGCGGCTGTCCCGGAACCTGGCATGGCAGCTACCACCTGCACATGCACGTGATGCACGGGGTCGGCCACGCCCACGGGCGCATCTACGACTGCGCGGCCGGATTCTCCAACTGGATGCAAGGTTGGTCCGACTCCAAGAAGGATTGGTGCTGCAGCCACGAGCACAAGGGCTGCGTCAAGTACCACTGCACCGGGCATGTGCCTCGGACCCCAAAACGGATTCGAAGAGCCATTCGATAATTCACGTTGAACGCTCGGGGGGAGCGATTTGACGACTTGAGTCTGTCGCATGCGCTCTTGTCTGCTCGCACGAGCTTCTGACAAAGGCAGGCCAGTGGGACACGGCGAAGTCGGCGTGGTGCCTTGGTTCGAAAGCTGGGGATGCTCGGGGAAGCTACGAGGCGGCTGCCTAGCACACTGCGGAGTAGTGCGACCAGCGTGGCATTGCGGCATGCGCCGCCTTTGGCCTTTGCCAGCGCATGTGGCGTGCTGTGCTGAGGTGCTGCGCGCACTTCCAGAAGGGCTGCCCGCAGACCACGCTGTCTCCACTGAAGTGCGAGACCCCTTGTGAGATCCAAGGTGCGGGACATCTGGCTTGGGCATGCTTCTCTTAGTTGTTCTCACGTGCCAACGCCGCTGTACTGTACGAATGCGTTGATCCGAAATGCTCGCCACAGGAGAGACGGAGACGTGCATGAACCGCATCAAGTGGACCAAAGACAACGTGTTCGGAGACAAGGTCTGTGCATGTCTGTGCAGTGCAGTCGCATGAAAGAAGCAAGCAAAGGGCTTGTTGGATCAGTCCCCAACTGATGCGAGGACAACAAGTGCGCTTTGGCCTACAGCAAGGTCCAGGTGGAGTGCGACGTGTGCCGATCCTGCTCCATCCAGGCGACAATCAGAATCCCACAAAACTCTTTCCAGGCTGATCCTCACATGTGTTCTAAATCTGCGCTCAACCGACCGAAATCTGGAATGCAGGATGCGGGCTGCGGCACTCCGCAAGGCGCGGGCTCGCTCCCCTTCGACTGCGAAGCGGCCATCAACAACTTCTTCCGCGCCGCCTGGCCTGCTGGAGTTGCGTTGCTGGTACGTTGCGTTGTTGCAGACCTGTTGTGCGGTGGTGCCCGTAGTGCCTTTCGTGGCTGAGGCCTGGTCTCCAGAGAAGAAGCACTGGTGCTGCACCAAGCAGGGCAAGGGCTGCGAGGGAAAGAGCCCCCCCAGCGTGGATGCGGGCTACGGCATGGTCTGGAAGCACGTTCAGGCAGCGGGCATTCATAAGAATTCATGTGCCAAGTCCCTCTGCATGGTGCTGCAGTGTGCTGTGGTACAGGTGAACGGCTACTGGACGTGGGTGGCTGTGCATGGGCACGGCCATTTCAGCATGCCCTACGACTGCCATGCTGGCCTCGCCAACTGGCACACTGGCTGGTCTGCTGGCAAGAAGGTGCCTCGCGGCCGTTGTTCAATGTCTGTGGAGTGTCACAGAACCCATGAGCCCTTGCCATGACTTGCAGGGCTGGTGCTGCAGCCACCAGCACTTGGGCTGCGCGGCCCCTGGCGGAGCAGGGGGCGGCGGAGGAGCAGGGGGCGGAGGCGCAGTGCACCACCACAGCCAAAGCCAAAGCTGCAGAGGCTCTCGTGTGTGCGTGCTCAGAGTTTTGGAGGCACCACCCACGTCATCCACGTGATCCACCACGGCGGGGGCGGCGGGGGCGGCTATCACAGCTGGACCCCAAACTGTCGTCTCGCAAGTGTTTGCATATCAGTGATCATCAGTGCCCCCCGCCCCCCCCGATCCACGATTTAAACTTAAGTTTAAATCTCCTCTTCCGAACGCAACAGCAGAGGTTTTCGCTGCCCAAGCCGGATCTTCCGGGTCCCCCTGAAAAAGGCCTACCAAGTCCCAATGGCATGTGCTCGTCAGGACTCAACAAGCAAGAATACCTCCGAGGGCCGACGCGATTCCCAGAAGGGCGCACAACACGTTGTTGAAAAGCACAAAGGCCGTGTGCTAAAACGCTTCCTTGAATTGAGGCCTCGGCCATATCCAGACTTAGCATTCCCATCCATCTCGACCTGTCTTTTCAAAGTGTGTGGCTGTTCTTGACTCCGCAGCTGATTTTGTAGAGGGCAGTTGGTTTCAACAGCGTGTGTTCGCCTAAGGGTCTCTGATTTGTTCTTGGCTGTGCAGTTTACACAATTTGTACCGTTTTGCCCCTTGAATAAACTACCTAAGTTCTTCATATTGTGGAGAAGATAGTTGGCATAGCGTAATGTCTCGCAATGATACAATTCGACAAGAAGCCTTCAGACTCTGGTTTGATATGAATGTTCTTGTAAAGACAACTAGCCCTGTGTCTTTTTCCGGCTTAACCGGTAGTTTAAACAAACTAGGCTAACCACAAGAGCAATGCTCTAATTTTTGCAGTGACTAAAGTGTGCACATTCTCAAAACATCATTAACGTAATGCAAGTTTATAAAAAAGGCCATATCTCACATTGTAGCTTAATATGCTGACCAGAGGCCACTCCTGCGCTTTTACTTCGTTAATGAACACCATTAGATATTTCATCTGTTTCCATCATCAAGGAAACAATTTTCCCTTGATATGGGTTGACATTACGAACTGAACTATTGAATGCAGACTTCACTCAACCAAAGAATAGGTTCATTAGGACTTCACTCCACGCAAGTGTTGCTTGCTACCCCCCGCCCCCCCCTCATGTGCCCACGTTTTCGACTTCTTCTCGACATATCCGGATGAATTTCTTGTGTAGATGCTGTCTTGCTGAGCCATGCCTGCTCTGGCATCTGAGTCTCCTCTCTCCGAAAGCAAAAGAACAGCTTCTACTTGTTCGTACATGAACGTTCTTGCTACACGAAACTCCGTATTGGAGGCGAGATATCTTGATCTCCTATTATGCTAACGATACTGGTTGAATTTCTTACCGTTTTACTTTCGGAGTGAACTGACGTGATTAGAAATGCTGCATTCAAGTTAGATATTTGCATCCGTTTAAACAATAGACACCATCCAATACGCATGTGCTGATTAAATTGTTGGTTTTCACCATAAACAGTTGAGTGGCAACTTGACTGCCTATTATATCCAGCGAAGTTAGCTTAATCGATTTACGGCGTTAAGGTTTAAAGTGTAGATTATGTTGTAGATTTCACCTATTATTCAAACACGCGATGTAAAGTAACGGCCATCTGCTCCAGTTCTCAAAACAGAGACTAAATTCAATACGTTGTGTCCCAACAGCTATCCGGAGATGTGGAACCAAAACAGACTGGGACAGTACAGCGATTTCTACACCTGAAGGGCCTGAGGTGCCTGAAGTGCCGTACCGTCCCAATGTTTTCGGCCCAGGTGAGCAAAAACACCGCACCGAGCTGTCCCAAATAACTCGCAAAAAAAACCAATCTTTTCAGGGTGTCCGGAGGTGTCAAACCAAAGGGTTTGGGACAGTATAGCGTTTTGGCTTCTCTGGGCCCAAAAGAGTTGGACAGTATAGAATCTTCTGCACCTGAAGGGCCTGAAATGCTGTCTCGTCCCAATCGTTTTGGTTGGAGTCATGCGAAAACGCCGTACTGTCCCGATTCGCTGGGGGCTCTCAAAAAAAAGATTGTTCCTGATCTTTGTTTTTTTTTAAATGGTATTTTGGGATGGTACAGCCTGTACAGCGTTCTTTTGCTCCTCTGGGCCTAAAACGTGGGGACAGTGCAGCGTCTTCTGCACCTAAAGGGCCTCAAGTGCTGTACTGTCCCAATGTCTTGGGTTCCGGTAGTGCAAAACGCCGTACTGTCCCGTACTGTCCCAAACAGCTCCAAAAAAACAATCTTTTCAGGGTCTCCGGAGATGTGGAACCAGAAAATTGGGACAGTACCGCGTTTTTGCACCCGAAGTGCTGTGCTGTCCTAATCTTGGTGCAAATAAAAACGCTGTACCGTCTCAATCTTTTTGGTTTGCACCTCTGGAGACCCTCAGAAGATTGTGTGTCACTATTGTGTGTCTTGAGACTTTTGGGACAGTACAGCGTTTTTGCTCATCCGGGCCGAAAACATTGGGACAGTGCCGCGTTTTCTGCGCCGGGCCTGACATGCTGTACTGTCCCAATCTTTGAGGCAACCAGGCCCTGGAGACCTTGAAAAGTTTTTTGTTTTGGGAGAGGCTGAGATCAACTGGGGCCACGTCTGGCTGAGTTACACAGAGACATGGCCTGGACGATTCCTGCATACATGCTGGAGTGCTGTAATTGATGGAAACGCAGAATTACATGGCAAAGCCACGGGGAAGTGAATGTTAGATCTGCCCACAAGTTCCTAAAAGTGTACGTATCGTTGGGTGGCCAGAGTGGGAGGGTGGTTTTGGGGGAGATTCGCTCTGCTCTTGAAGCAGTATCGTATGTACATGTGAGCCGGCAATGAAGTCAGTAACCTTGTACATGGCACTCATCGCTGACGCAACGTGCCGAAAAGATCAAGCGAAGCGTTTGCAACACAGCTATCCAAAACCTGCATTCTTTATAAATGCAAATATGCACGATGTCCTGATATCAGTAGCACGATATGAATGTCGCATTGATTTCAGAACTAATTAACTAATTGTTATTCGAGTTGATTGAAGTCGGTTTCCTTTGATTTGGACACTTCATGAATTCACTGCCTCTCTTCAGATGCACCGCATGGTGCGAATTTCTAACCCTTTATTGCTTGTTGCTCAGATCACGCGCACCCGCCGTTCGCCGCGGGCCACGGCCAGATGTGGCACTGGAGCATGGCTGGAGGTGCGCGGCGCTTTCACGGCATACTGAACGGGTATCTCTCCGCATCTCTCTGCCAGGTGGCGGTGGACATTGGGCGCAAGTTGGCATGCACGGGCACCTGCCCTTCGACTGCCTGGCGCCTCGCCTCACCTCAGAACCATTGCGTGGCATCTTTGTTTTAAAGATTTGGTGTCTGGTGTTAACCGGATCTGGTGCAGGCCGGCGTCGCCAACTGGCAGACAGGCTGGTCACATCCCAAGAAGGCGCCTCTGCTCGGCCCAGCACTCCCAGCATGATGTGGCACCATCACTGCCCCACAAGGTGTTCTGCTGCAATCACTTCGGCAACTCCTGCGCCTGAGAGATTGTTCTCCTGACCATTTAGCTTCTTCCTTACTGCTCGCCTGGCTAGCGAAGGCTGTCAGTGGCCAGTGCAGATGGAAACAACAGTTCAACACGATAGCAGTGTAGCAGTGCAGCCGTGCAGCAGTGCAGCAGCGGTGTGGCTGAATGGGCTTACTGGACCACTAGGTCACTAGGTCAGTAGGTCGCTGTGCCATAGTTTTCCTCGTACGGTGAAGACTGTAAAAGGAGGATGCACAGTGACACTAAACAAACATGTAGCGACTGGGATTCGTGCATTCGTGCATGCATCCGCTACAGTGACTACAGGCAGCTTGTTCCGATGCAGACCAGGAATGGAGAACTACCAGCTCCTGAAAGCATCGGCCCTGCAGTTGCCACATGTTGCCACTAGAAGTCACCAGCATCTGCCAGTCGAAAACAGCACTAAGATGCAGAACGCCTGTACCGGCCGTTGTTTTTCCTTGGTGGAGGGGGGGGTAAAATGTTGAACTTGATTCGTGGCAACGAAACCCGTGCTTTGTTCCCGGATGTGTGCAAAGATTCATGTTCGTGGAATGCGGGGTGTGCTCCCTCTTGGGGACTCTGCGGTGCTTGCCAGAATCATTCACGCCTAGCCGTGTACTTCAAACTAGAGCATCCCAATATAGTGCATCCGCCAAAATTGGCACCGAAACAATCGTGGGAGCCTCACGCCTGCACTAATTTGCGACATATGCTTTGTACCTTTCAACAACTGTAGAACTGCTGACGCTTGACTGCCTGAAACATGGGGCAAAACAAGTGCAGACTGTCTTGTCAGGATGTTTTAACCCTGCTTCTGGTTGGATGCAAGAAGAGCCAACCGACTCCCACTTGTGCTGCCTTTGCTAGTCCTTTAGGCTCAGGCTTGATGCAAATGCCCGCATGGAGTTGGGCAAACTGACGTGGGCCGCACTCCAAGCTGGAGGGCCATTCAAGCAGCATCAACATTTTGGACTCGCTTCGGAAGGTCCAGCATGTCCAGCTGAGGTCTCCATACAATGTGCCAGTCTGGAAGCCTAGCTAGCCTGCGCCAGCCAGCACCGCGTGTACCCCGCGGTTGCGGGTTTCCTTTCTTCTTGACTGCTACGGGCGCTCAATTCTTCAGCTGTGCAAGGCCCAGCCCGACGATTGCTGGATTCCTCCAGCAAGCGGAGGAGACTGCCTTCGAAGCCCAAAGACCCGGAACATCAACGTCTCTTCCATGAGGACAACTTGGCTTTGCTGAGAGCCCGTGCACAGTTCACTCCGCGTGGGAAGCCCAGAAAGCATCATCAAGCCTGGTGAGCTTAGTAGCCTGCAAAGCATCAGCATACAGCAGCCGTGGGCATATGTGGGCATAGTTTGCTTTGCGAGAACACCTAGGCAAAGCTCGCGAGAGACGTGCCGAGGCGTTCTGGAGCATAGCTGCGTAGTGCCTTCAGACGCTTTCCTTTCATGACCTCCAGGAAAGCCCAGAAAGTGCCAGCGCGCGAATGAGCAGGGAGCTTTCAACTTCACCTGTTTGCCTGGGACGTGCCCCCACCTGCATGTCGCGAAGAGTGAGTTGCCAGAGCAGCTTCGGGAAACTCGGGAACCCGCAAATCGATCTGTTGGAGTGCAGTCTCAACTTTTCAAGGTCAGCGGCTGAAGGGCACCGCGTCTACCCATGCTTCGCCGCTGCAAGAGGAGAGCTGCACCTTGTTTCTTGGAGATGCCCCACCCACTTCCTTCTACGATGCACGTTCTTTCTCTTTTGTACTGTAGTAAGACTGAATCAGAAGCTCTTTATATCGACGGTTGGGAATTAAGGCGTTCGGTTCCCTCTCAGAAGCGTAGAGTCTGCAATCATCTCGTGTAACCATGATTAACCATGCGCACACACTTGTTTTAGCTCAGCTCAGACGCGAGTGTGAGGAGCCTGTCGAAGAGCTTTCGCGCACGTGGCTGGTCTGCAGCTAGATTCCAGCGCCCTGGGAACGTGCGCACGTTTCAAGATGCCATTCAAGGCCTTGGCAGCTTTGGCACCATCTTCAGCTTTTGAATAGCTTCTTGTGTTTTTTGTGTCCGGGCTTTGACAACAGGGCATCGAGCTGGGGTTGCCCCACATGCCATGACTACTGCGTAGCTTACCGAGGAGGCCTTGGCACTGACCTGGGTTCATTATTCACATCACCCGGCTCGCTGTTCCGGCCCATGGGCGATTTGTGGAGAACTTCCCGCCCCCCCACCCCGCCCCCCAAATAAGTTCAAGCACCCAACAAGCGAGCGACATGAGTGACCAAGACCCTGATCACAACGGGTGCTCATATGGGAAGTGAATCAGAGGCGGGTAACCCATATATCGAAGTGCAACTGCTAGTACTACTGAGATCTAAATCAATAAATCAAATGTTTCACGATCCTCCCAACATTTCCCTCCCAAAGGCCTTGGTTTTCCCGATTCTCAGGCTGCGTGAGCTGGATCGAAAGGTCAGAGGTTGGGCCTACATGTTGCAGTGCCTTGTTCTCCGAAAGGTGACACGCACACGCACACGCACGCGCACACGCACGCGCACACACACACACACACACACACACACACACACACACACACACACACACACACACACACACACACACACACACACACACACACACACCCCACACCCAAACCCACACATCCCACCCACCCAACACACCCCCACAACCCCCCACACCCCCACACCCCCACCCCCCACCCCCACACCCCCACCCCACCCCCCACACCCCACCCCACACCCACACCCCACACACCCACACACCCCACACACCCACACCACACCCCACACACCCCACACACACACCCCACACACCCACACACCCACACACCCACACACCCCCACACACCCCCACACACCCCACACCCCCACACCCACAACACCACCCACACCCACACACCCACACACCCACACACCCACACACCCACACACCCACACCCACACACCCACACACCCACACACCCCACACACACCCACACACCCACACACCCACACACCCACAACACCCACACCCCACACACCCACACCCCACACACCCCACACCCCACACACCCACACACCCACACCCCACCACCCACACACCCACACACCCACACCACACACCCACACACCCCACACACCCACACACACCCACACACCACACACACCCCACACACCCACACACCCCACACCCCCACACCACACACACCCCCACACCCACCACCCACACACCCCACACCCACACACCCACACACCCACACACCCACACCCCACACCACCACCCACCACCCACCACCCCCACCCCACCCCACACCCCCACCCCACCCCCACCCCCCCCCCCACCCACCCCCACCCCCACACCCACACCCCACACCCACACCCCACCCCCCACCCCCACCCCCACCCCCACCCCCACCCCCCCCCCCCCCGCAACCCCCCCACCCCCGCCCCCCGCACACCCGCACACCCGCACACCCGCACGCCCGCCGCCAGCACCCCGCCCGCCCGGCCCCCCCCGCCCGCCCGCCGCCCACGCCCACCACCCCCTCCCACGCGCCCACGCACCCACGCACCCACCGCACACACCACACACGCACGCACACACGCACACACGCACACACGCACCCACGCACCCACGCACCCCGCACCCACGCACCACACACAGCACGCACCCACGCACACACGCACCACACGCACACACGCACACACGCACACCGCACCCACCACGCACCCACGCACCCGCACGCACACACGCACGCACCCACGCACCACGCCACCACGCCACGCACTCCGCACACACGCACACACGCACACACGCACGCACCCACGCACGCACGCACGCACCCGCAGCACGCCCCACACGCACCCACGCACCCACCACCGCACACGCACCCACGCACACACGCACACACGCACGCACACACGCACCACACGCACACACGCACGCGCACCACACGCACACACGCACAACCACGCACACACCACGCCGACGCAACTCACCACGCACACCACGCACACACGCACGCCACCGCACACACGCAACTCACCGCACACGCACACACGCACGCACACACACACGCACGCACACGCACACACGCTCACACACGCACCACGCGTCACACGCTCACACACGCCGCACACACACGCGCACACGCACACACGCACACCACACATACACGCACACACGCACACCCGCACCACGCCACACGCGCACACACGCACACCCTCACACACGCACCCACCCACCCACCCACCCACCCACACCCACACCCACACCCACACCCACACCCACACCCACACACCCACACCACCCACACACCCCCACACACACACCCCCACAACCCACACACCCACACACCCCACACACCCACACACCCACACACCACACCCACACACACACACACACACAGTGGCTCACAGAGTGTGTGTGTGTGTGGTTCTTGCAAGCATCTCCCCACTCACCGAAGTAGATGTTCGCACTTTGCAGGCTTCGACGCGCGCTTCAGGTCTATGGAGAAGGCCACGTGCAACACTGCGCGGGTGTATCATGTAAAGCGCCTTTGGAACCTACTCATGCGCGCGAGTAGACAGGCAGTGGCTTCAGCAGCGGACTTGGCAGCTGCCTCTTCGAGGCCAGTTTTCCCGCACGTAAATCCAAGGCCCAAGAGAGCTTCAAAAAACACAAAACGGTAATACGGTAAACACGGCATGATTTCGGCAGGTGCGGCCGCGATGGTATTGAGGCACTGCTCCCAGAGGGCGGATGCCTACATGCGTTCCGAAATTCCTATCAGGTGCTATCAGAACGTCGGCTTGTGAGCCATGTTTATACATCGACCTTTTACACCCTGACGATAAGGTTTACCCCGTGGCAGTAAAATCGTTTTGCGAGGCTGCAACTGCTGCCACTGCAGCTGTCCGCGTGGAAGCTGAGGCAAGCGCTGAATGCTTTTTTATTTTCAGATGTTCTGAGCGATAGTTCCTACTGTACCAGGCCAAGTGTCGAGAACTCGCCCAGCGCATCGAAAGCCGGTCTCTTGAGATGCACTGTTGAGTTCTCACTACAGGCCCTCAAAAGTTTATTCATAGAAGGCCCTACAGGAGAAGAGTGAAAAGACGGGAAGCAAGGCATCATTCGCGTCTTCTCGGATGGGATGTCAGGTCTTTCTGGTTCCGGCGGTCGCTGGACCCAGGACATTAGAGACCTCACATGACTATATGACTTACACGTGCAACTGCGCTCAAGTAAGCACAGCATCTGCGAGGAGCTTGAAGCCCGCATTGACAACTGCGCGGCTGCCTCAGCAAGACCTTGTGGCGTGTTTTTTGTCTCACGTTTTTTTGGCCTGTGCCTTTTCGGGAGGATGTGCCATGTCCCACCCGCAGGTGCAGGCCTCTTTGACCTCTGACCTCCGCTGCCTGGAGAGGCCGTGGCCACAGTTTTTCGATTGAAACTTGGATTTGGCACATACTGGCACATCTGGCACTGGAAGGCGTCTCGTGGCCCAGTTCTCTCAACGCCACTCTGAGGTCCTGGAGGCGCGAACTGATTCGCTAAAGTCGCTGAAGCTCGGCTCAGAGGCTTTCAGATTCAGGGCCCCAACATGCCCCAACGAGCCCATGGAGCATCCGCTTTGGCCTCGAGTGCGTCCTGCGCGCGTATGTGAGCAGAGGCAGCACAGCAGATGATGGCCGAATTGAAGGCCGAGGCGCTTGCTTTAGCAAGGTGCACCGTACTGGTTTGGCAGCTACTTGCAGCGCTCTCAGTGCCTAGTGCTTAGGTGAGCCTGGAACTTGAGGCGCTGCAGGGCAGGAGCACTGGAGCACTGGCATGCCATGGCCGATGCGAGGCAACATGGAACCTCTCGTGTAATGTGGGCCAGATACCGCTGACCTTTCGGGAAAGAGTTATTACTTCGAAAAGATGCGAAAAGGAAAAATGCGAGCCTGGGAGACATGTTGATCCCGTTTGCGCTACGAATGTTGTTTGAGAATGCCAACCTGGGCCTTCGACAGGCGGAAGGGTGTACGAAAATCTATTGTTCTGGTAAGCTCGTCGAAGGAGAATCCCATGAAGCGCGCTCTCTCTCTCTCTCTCTCCATCTCTCCACCCTCCTTCGCTTTTTGGCAGAAGCTTCGCAAGGATCAGCGGCCGTAGAAATCTAAGGAGAATTGAAGACGTGAAGCAACATGGCCGGTTGCCAAGTGCGGCGCCGCGAAAGTAATCGCTAAGCCATCGTTTGATCAGTGATCCTGGTTCTAGGCCGTCACGTGTTGGCTCCGGTAATGGAAAGTAGTCTTCCCAGAGGGTTCGGGCCAAAGACTACTTTCTTTAAATCAAAGGTTTTATGAATCAGATTCTCGGATTAGGGCTCTTTTCAACAGGCATCTGCGCAAGAGATATATATATATATATATATATATGAGGCAGGAACCTTTATGTATCATTTGACTTCCTTTTGTTGTTTTACTATAGAGAGCTCCACTAATTATATTTAATGCTATGATTACAACTCCTGCTGTTTTTCCCATCATGCTGCACTCTGTAAAGGTATTACGCGATTTGAAAGACCACCCTGGAACCCAAAATTCCCTCCACCCTTTTTTGTCTGCTGAGGCTTCGCCAACCCGTTAAAGTTTCTGCCGTCTCTGCTCCGGCGGCCCCGGACATATACAACGCCCTGGAGGGGCCCGAAACAGACAGGCTAGCTACGGAAGCCAGGTCCCAGCAAGGCCCCAAAAGCTTCCCCAGGAAGGCTTTAGGCCGATAAGCACAAGGCGGGCACGGAAGGCTTCAGGTTTGGGATTTGGACTTTAGAATGCTTTACACGAAGTGCTTTGTTGTCGCAGCCTTCTGCCCTGCCCTTGGCATCAAGTAGGGTCACGTGGGTCTGGGCCCAGAGGCTAGAAGTTGAGAAGTTCAAGTATTCAAGAGACCTACAAAAGGGTCGGAGCACGCGGAGCACTCGGGCAGTCCTAGGACTGGGTAGAAGTGGGCCATGTAGAACGCTGCACACTAAACTCTAAACCCTAAACCCTAAACCCTAAACCCTAAACCCTAAACCCTAAACCCTAAACCCTAAACCCTAAACCCTAAACCCTAAACCCTAACCCTAAACCCTATACTTATTCTTATACCCTAAACCCTAAACCCGGTGCTCGGCCCTGTGTAAGCAGGCCCTCTCAGACGTGATCGGGCCTCAGTTTTGTTGAGAGGCCAAGGGTTTAAAATGTGATATTAGGGTTTAGGGCTTAGGGTCTAAGGTATTGGTTTTCAAGCTAGCGGTCTAGGTGTGCCACTTAGCCATGGAGTTTTGTAAGAAGCTCCAGAACAGATTTAGAATTACACCGACTCTTTCTTCGCAACCCGAAGCCCTAAACCCTATAAACCCTATAAACCCTATAAACCCTATAAGCGCTACAAACCCTATAAACACTAACCCTAGAAACCCCATAAACCCCATAAACCCTATAAACCCGATAAACCTTATAAACCCTATAAACCCCATAACCCCCAGGCCCCCCCAGCAACCAGAAGCTTAGGGTCTAGGGTTTAGGGTTTAAAGTTTGAGGTTTAGGGTTTAGGGTTTAGGGTTTAGGGTTTAAGCGGGCTAAGGATGGCTTAGGGGCTCCAAGGCTGAAACTGCCGAGAAATCACCAAGCGGTTTTTTGAGTTCAGGGTTTTAGGGTTTTGGGGTTTAGGGTTTTAGGTTTAGGGTTTAGGGTTTAGGGTTCAGGGCTTAGGGTTTAGGGTTTAGAGTAAGGGCCCCCGAACAAGCGCCCGACTTGAGCAACCGAGCAATGAAGTTCCCAGGCGTCGCCTCGGGGCGGAGAGTGGCTGAGGTTCAGGGTTTAGGGTTTAGGGTTTAAGGTTTGAGGTTTAGGGTTTAGGGAAAACTGGCAGCAAGAACTGCAAAGTGGTTAAGGCTAACGTTACCAAATATTGAGCAACTGGATCGTCTCGAAGCCCACCTCCTCATGTTGCTGAGATCCAAGAGATCTCTTCCAGGGAGGCTCGGTTGGCGAGGACACCTGATCCAGAGACGAAGAGGCAGAGAGACGAAGAAGCAGAGAGACGAAGAAGCAAAGAGGCGACAAAGCACGGAGACGCAGAAGCACAGAGACGAAGAAGCAAAGAGACAAAGAAGGACGGAGACAAAGAAGCAGGGAGACGAAGGAGCAGACAGAAGTGCCGAGGACCCGGCGGTCGGGAGACCACGCTTGCGCGGCGGCGGGTACGGTGGCTCTTTCGGGGCCTGGGAAGCGGTGACGAGGGAAGGTTGATGGGCTTTGACGAAGACGCAGCGTGGACGAGGAACCACTCCTCCCCTTCTACATTTAACAAGTTTGTGGTGATTCTTTTTTGATATTTGTATTATAATACATTTCACACTACAAGAAGCTTGGTTAACTCGCATATGTGCATGTGAGGTCATATTTCTTCAGTGACTCGCTACTGCGAGCGAAGTCACATCATTCCATGCAAAGTTGCTTCACCAAGATGTATGTTGAAGTCTTTCCCAATGTTCACGCCCCACAGGCGCATGTTCTCGACACACATGCGAAATACGCACATGTTGCCGATTCCCAATAGTGAGGCCGCTGCACTGTTGTTCTTCTCGGACTCAGCAGCCTAAGCGAAGGGTTTCAAGTGCAGTTATATGGACTAAAAGGATGCTCCTTTTTGATGAATAAGTCACATTTAAGGTCTACTTGGCTGAGGCCACTTCCTGGCGCCATTTGGAGGCAACCCGCAGAGTCTCCGCTATGGACTCTTCGTTCTTCTGTCAAAGTTGAGGATTTTACGTTGGCTGGTCTCCCAAACCACATGGACGGTCGTCAAAATTCTATTGATTTATTGAATTCATATCGCAATATACTCTGTTAATACTTACAGTGCCTATGGAAAAATTTTGACAACCGTCAACTTGTAGATTGTGCACGTTGCGCCAGCCTGGTCGTCCTCAGGAGTCCACGGCTGGAACCACGAGGCCTTGCCACCGGCTGTACAAGCGGGTAGGTTAAGTCACATCTCCCCAATGACACGCGGCTGCGAGCGAAGTCACATCATCTCGCATAAAGTCGCATCACAGAGACATATGTTGAAGCCACTCCCCTAATGTGCACGCGCTGCACGCGGTCTTTTTTTTAAGAACTAAGCCAGATTACAGGGAGCTTTATCATCCTGCAGTGGCGTAGCACGGGTCAGCTGCACGCAGTTGTGTGAAGACATGCCCACCCCAAGTCCACCCAAACACAACTCACTGCGAAACCAAACCGGAGCCAGCCCAAGCCAAGCCAACCATTCACAACTCAAACATCGAACAGTTCAGAGGACACTTCGGTTAGAAGACTGAGAGTGCTTGAGAGATTTGCGATTCGCTAAGGACCTCCCCTCAGGTTTTTGCGCAAGGCTGGGCCAAGGGCCCTCTCATAGAAAATGCCAGGGTGGGATGCCCCTTCAGGTTTGTGCGAAGGTTAGAAGAATGAGAGTGCTTGGGACATTTGCGATTGGTAAGGAACCCCCTAACCTAAAGCCCGAACCCTAAACAGGCTCTAAGTCCTAAACCCTAAACCCTAAACCCTAAACCCATAGTCAAGCGGCGTAAAGCCAAGCTTGTGCAACTGCAGCGGGCTGGCATAGGCATAAGCCCTGAGGCGGAGTAAGCTACTAAACCCTAAACCCTAGCCCTAAACCCTAAATCCTAAATTATTACTCAACCCCAAACCCTGAACCCTAAACCCGAAACTTTGAACCCTAAACCTTAAACCCTAAACCCTACACCCTAAACTCTAAACCCTAAACCCTAAACCCTAAACCCTAACCCTCCAAGGTTCCCGCGGGCTTCTTCGAGGGTGTCTCCAATGCTACCTTAGGTAGCAAGGTTTACGGCCTAGGGCTTACGGTTTAGGGTCTGGTGTTTAGGGTTTAAGGTTTAGGGTTTCGTGCGCCCTTAACCGTCCATTAGCTTTTGGTTCCCCGAAGAAGCAAAGAGACAAAGAAGGACGGAGACAAAGAAGCAGGGAGACGAAGGAGCAGACAGAAGTGCCGAGGACCCGGCAGTCGGGAGACCACGCTTGCGCGGCGGCGGGTACGGTGGCTCTTTCGGGGCCTGGGAAGCGGTGACGAGGGAAGGTTGATGGGCTTTGACGAAGACGCAGCGTGGACGAGGAACCACTCCTCCCCTTCTACATTTAACAAGTTTGTGGTGATTCTTTTTTGATATTTGTATTATAATACATTTCACACTACAAGAAGCTTGGTTAACTCGCATATGTGCATGTGAGGTCATATTTCTTCAGTGACTCGCTACTGCGAGCGAAGTCACATCATTCCATGCAAAGTTGCTTCACCAAGATGTATGTTGAAGTCTTTCCCAATGTTCACGCCCCACAGGCGCATGTTCTCGACACACATGCGAAATACGCACATGTTGCCGATTCCCAATAGTGAGGCCGCTGCACTGTTGTTCTTCTCGGACTCAGCAGCCTAAGCGAAGGGTTTCAAGTGCAGTTATATGGACTAAAAGGATGCTCCTTTTTGATGAATAAGTCACATTTAAGGTCTACTTGGCTGAGGCCACTTCCTGGCGCCATTTGGAGGCACCCGCAGAGTCTCCGCTATGGACTCTTCGTTCTTCTGTCAGAGTTGAGGATTTTACGTTGGCTGGTCTCCCAAACCACATGGACGGTCGTCAAAATTCTATTGATTTATTGAATTCATATCGCAATATACTCTGTTAATACTTACAGTGCCTATAGAAAAATTTTGACAACCGTCAACTTGTAGATTGTGCACGTTGCGCCAGCCTG